TAAAAATTTTAACTAAAATGCACTTAAGTACAAAACTATTGACTACACGTGTCTGCAGCACGATTAGACACACATTTATATAGTTTATCAGAAAAAAAGTTGATTTGGGGGTGACTTGCTCTTTAACATTCATGGACTCACCCATCTTGACTCATGACAAGGAAAGCTTTGGTTCGTTTAGCGTCCAGGAAACAGCAGAGAACGTCTCGGCTAGTAGAAGCTAAACATTAGCAACTTCACCACACGGCTACACTCCTCCAGGCTTGAGTTATTTGTAGAGATACAACATTAACGTTGCAAGTCAGTGGTGGAGTCAGGTTGCTGTTATCCTATCCGAGGTGAGATGTCCAGAATATCAGGAAATAAGACTCCAAATCCTGCCGTCTGAAGCTCTCTGATGTGGTTTTCTGTTAGTTCCTGAAACAAGCACACATGAGCTTTTTTTCCTCCCCCAAATATGACCTGCAAAGGCATTCTTCCTACTAGAGACCACTGCAAATATATTGATTAATCGAGTGTCCCACACCTTTAAATTTTTTTGTTCCGAACAAGTGAATTTTATTTCAACCAAACCATTTAGATGCTATTAGTTTTCTCTTAAGGAAAAATCTAAATAGGTACAAATTAGAACGGGTAACTCCTGTTAACCAACTCGGATTTTTATTGTTATTTTTTAAATGTTTACGAATCACCACCTTATCATGTCCTATTAGGCTGTAGTGAAAACTGTAGAGCGTCCACATAGATGAGGAAAGTAGAACATGCATTTCCACCTTAACATATATGTTTTATTAACATTAAATAAAAACAATCAGAGTTTAAAACCTGCTTCTCTGTCAACTATAAACCTCTTACGTAACGAAAATGATTTAAGGTGCTTAAAAACATTACTTTTTTCCTCATCAACGTCTGAGTAGAAGCTCCTGTCACATGGACCAGATTGTAAACAGAATCATGAACTCCCTCCCTCTCCTCCTCTTCTTCCTCCGCCTCCAAACTCTGCAGCTTCCCTCTGGTTTCTCTCCGGGCTTTCCTCGACTCTTCCTAAAAGATCTCAGGAAGTTAAAAAAAAAAAAAAAAAAGAAACGGCTCTGTAAGGAAAACTTAGTTTTGGCTCTGTGCCAGCGTGTGAACGTAGGCGAGTGAGACGCCTCTTTATGCGGCTGTTCTATAGAATGAACTTCAAACCTCTCACTGATTTACGAGGACCGCCCCGAGCTTCAGGGCCGCAATGAAAGGAACCATTTTTCACCTGTCCAGCTGCGCGCTGACGTGTGTGTGTGTGTGTGTGTGTGTGTGTGTGTGTGTGTGTGTGTGTGTGTGTGTGTTGAGACTCCTGCACTGATGTCTACATGTGGTTGACTTTGTGGAACGCAGAGCGGACCGTGGTGAACGTAAATAAATAACTGTGAGTTTAAACATTACAAACTTGCGTCGGGGCTAAAACAAACCCCTTCGACGTGAGCTGTGAAGCCAAGCAGTGGTGTTAATGACAGCTGTAGTTAAAGAGGTGGAGGCTGTAATAATAACTGAGGTACCAAAATAACAGCAGTGGCGCTGCATCAAGTTGCAGTAGAATTAGCTGGGTCAAAGAGGTGGTGTGGAAAATGGATTTGGTGCTTCTTATTAGGTTTAATGAATATTTCATAAATATTTCATGATTTGAGTTTAAAAAACTCTTATTTTTCCGTCATAAAGGAGTTTAAATGTGCAATAAAATACAATGCACTATTTTTCATATCAAAGCTCTGATCCGACGATGAAGCTGTTTTAGTCAAAGTCACAATACACACAGTCTCACATAAGGTCGTGTGTGATCTGTTAGCACCTACGAGTTTAAAATTACTCTTTTAATACTTCCATTTGTTGGTCACCACTGTAGCTGACTGCAAAGGTTAGTCAGTTGAAGAAAACGAGAACTTCATTAAAATCGGTTTAGTAGTTTATGAGATATTTTGCTAAAAACAAACATGCATGCACACAGTCATTGGTGCAGGCAAAAACATTATATATATTATAAAAAATTCTAATTTTTCTCCACTTTTTCATTCATTCCTTTCTAGAATATCATCATAATAAAAGCAAAAGTTATTTAATTACTTATTTTAGAATTTCTTGTGCTGCACACTGTAACTGCTCGCCTTTTAAAGAGACATAGCCATGTTTACATGCGCCATATTTCACCAGTCCGATTCAAATCTTGGTTGATCGAAAATCCAGAATCTCTGTTTACATGCACGCTAACTAAAATTATCCGATCATCTTTTGTATGTTCTTGCTGTGTTTGTCTTCAAATTCCATTTTTGGTTCTTTTTTAAACACAGATAAGGTTTTTTTTTTTTTTACCTTGCTGAAATTTCGCCGTTTGCAGTCGCAAACGAAACGTCAGCAAGGTAAAGAAAAAGCCTTGTCTGTGTTTAAAAAAGAACCAAAAATGGAATTTGATCCGATCATGCCGTGAGTTTACATGCACAAAGTATTCACAATCAGATAAAATAGGTTGAGCGTGTGCAGAGTTTTCTTTCCCGGAAAAAAAAAAGTAAACAAACGTCAGGAAACAAAATGAAAAATGTAAAAACTGAAAAAAGAAAAAACAAACTTCCTGCTTTCCTGATTAATTTAATCATTTTAAGGTTTTATTTTGCTCATAGAAATTATGTTTTCTTCAGTGAATAACTGCAGGTTTATGCTTTGCTGGGTTTTATTGCTAACAAGACTAAAATAAGGGAGGGTTATCCTTGTCTCTGCCTCATGATCAGCTGGTCCGCGGGTCTGATGTGACGGCTGGGCGCTGCGCGGAGCGGGGGTGGGGGGTCAGACTCGTGTTATTACTGAGCTCTGTTGTGGTTTATTATAAATACAATGAGACAATCAGCTGAATCTGTTGAGAAAAATTGGTTCAAACTTAATAACAGGAGATGTTCAGAAAGTTTGGAAGCCTGCATTCATCATGTGTTCATCATGCGTTCATCATGTGTTAATAAACGAACCGCATCTCATCTCAGCTGCATTAACGTGCTTTTACACAGATAGTCATCCACAACATTTAACTGAGGATGTTTTTCTACTCAACATCAGCCTCCTTAAACTCAAACCAGGTGTGATTAACCGATGTTACCTGGTCTTCTTTACGAGCACGTCTCCATCCACCTGCTGCAAAAACAGCTGCTGCGTTCACAGAAACAGGGATCTGTGCTGCAAACCTGAAATGAATCTGCGTGTTTCCAGTACAGACTTGGACACGTTTGTCGAATCCTTTGTGCAATAATCAGATTTTTATTTTACTTCCACAAAATACAAGTTCTGGATTAGATATTACAGAAACGGGGACGGTTTGCCATCATATTTAAAAGCAGACGCTCGTTAATTAGGCCGTCATTTTTTAAGTCGGGTAGTCTAAATGACGGCGGGGAGGCTCGCTAGCTGTTGCACACATGCGCAGAGGGCGTTATTTTACTCCAACAATCCGAATGGCTGTGCACATGCACGTCAATCGGAGTGATGATCGGACAAAACCACCTCTCTCAATCGGATTGAAACTTCATTCCGATCGGGACGAATCAGATCAGAACATTCCGACTGACATGTTTACATGCAGAATTTTTTATCTGATTGGGCGTTCAATCCGATTAAATGTGCACATGTAAACATGGCTAATTTGTCGTTTTTACTGTTAGTCGCTGGAAAATGCATCAAGTGTTGTTGTAAATGAATTTAATGATGCCCAGTTGTTGAAAAATATTGGCAGCTTTCTAACATACAACCATAAAAATTGGTTCTAAAACACATGGGAGTGTGTCTAAGTCTCTGAGTGATGCCACATTAGACGCCATGTGTCCCTCTATGGGAGCCCGTGAGGACAAAACACATTTACTGATACGTAACAAGCAGTTACAAAACTTTCACCGTTCATAAATGTAGTTGTTTTACATATTTACCCCTCAGCTTTTTGCCAGTGATGAAAGAGAGTCTGATGTGCTTGTTGTTTTGCTGGAGGCTGGTCTCCCAGGGATTTTTGACCCTAATGGCCATCCGTTGGTAAGGTCTTACAGAAACACAAAAACAATGCTTGCTTGCAGTGATTTAAGTATGTACTGCTCCCTATTGCCAGGGAAAATACACTTTGTCACATTAACTTCGCCTTTTAATCTGATCTTGAGTTGTGTATTTAACTATATCTAAAAGTAATTGTGTATTTTAATTATGCAGTCATGCTGATTTTGCTGTTCTTGCTTTTGGAAAGCACACTGAATAGGGAGCCTAAGTCTCCTCCCTTTCCAGTCGGCTCACGGGTCCCTGGAAGAACGAAAAAACGAACACAAGTCAACGGGGCTAAAAGAGCTGTTTTCTAATCCGCGTTGCCTTACGCCCTGGATCGCACATATGTTGTACTTCAATTTAAATAAAAACTAATGATGTGTTTCAAACACGCTAGTCACGTACTTAGAGATATTTTAGCTTGTAAATGTTCGTAATTAGCATGACTACAAAGCAGATGTTGGTACGTCGCATATGTGACGTCACCACAGAATCTCCTCTCCCCTAGCGTAGCTGCTACTTACCACATGGCCAGATTTATGGCTTTTCTTTTTAAATTCACTGAACTTACAGCTATTTTTCAAATCAAATCAAATCAAATCAAAGCTTTATTTATAAAGCTTTGATTTTCCTCAGCGTTTTCTTCGTGTCTGGTTTGATAACGTCAATTTGGCGATGCGCATTTGTAGTCCTGGACGTATTTTCACATAAAATCTAAAATAACTTTTGCTATTTGTCAGAAAATAAGCACTTTCTTTGCATCAGAATGTGTCTTTAAAATTCACAGACACCATATGTGAAATCCATAGCACATAACATACAGAATTAGAAAATAGCGTTTTTAACCCCATGGACTTGTATTCGTTTTTTGTTCTTCTCTGGAAGTAGATGGGTGTGGCTTAGGCTCCCTATCGCCTCTGTCTATGAACTGTGCTGACATGGACAGAACATCTTTGTCTCACCACATCATTAGAAGCATCGTTCTCCGGCGTCTCAGGTGGCTCGGCGGCTGCAGGACTGTTGGACGGCATGGTGGGAAACGGTCAACTTTCAACCCCCCCACCCCCCCAAAAAAAGAAAAAAGGAAAGAAAAAAAAATAAAATAAAAACTAAGCAAATCAAAACATGGGAACGGCCCTCGGAAACTCCTGGTGCAGCTTCATTCAATCTAGCTGGACGATTGCTGTCCCACTCTGTCCTCCCTGGCTCCTACAAGAAAGAAAGAGAAAGAAACATCAGGACACGAGCAAACAGAGAAGAGGAAATCTATCAGGTCTGAGAGAGATCCACCTCAGCATGTGACTGACCTCGTTCATTCCTTTTCTAAGTGACTTACAGCTGATGGAGGGGTCTACTGCTAATACATAGCTTCAAATTCTTAGCTGAAACGTATTACCCACCCACAGATCCAGGCAGGTGTTATCAGGAGAAACTGATCGTCAGATTAGCTGTCAGTGAGACTTATGAGGCTGTGGATTAAATCTAAAATTTGCAAATTTAACAGAAAAAAGATTACAGATTCTAAATAAATCACTTTAGCCTGATTTATTTCCTAAACACACAGATTAGCTCTCAAAAATAAACTTCCTTGCATTTAAGAAGCTGAACAAATTAGGCTTTTAATGTCATAAACTCTGTATAATGCTGATGGTTTACATGGAGGAAGAGCGTCTCCTAAGAGAGCTGTTAGGAAACAAATTGAACGATGTGTCACCTTGTAAGCCTTGTTTGTTGTGCTTGTTTTTTATTATTTGTGATTTTACAATAAGAAGAGATAAAAATAAAGACGGTGAACCTATTCTCACCTAACTGAAAACCTCTGTTTATATTTTCAGCTGTTTTTGGCAAAGCACACATAACACCTTTGTCTGGCATAGTTTATTTTAGATTTTTAATCTCTTTAGTGAACATAAATATGCGCAACACCCAGCAGACAAACTGGAGCTAATTGAGCTGCTAGGAAGCATTTTTGGGGGGGGGTGGCTGCAGGGCTTTCTTAAAATTGGTTCATCACATTTCCTCTGTGAATTTTTTTTTTCCAAAGGTCAGGTTAGGCACAGATCTCCAAACTACACATGACAAAAACCTAATATTACACTCAAAACTGAGTATTCCCTTGTTTGGACATGTTTAACTACCACAAGCGGGTTGGTTTAATCAGTTTTACACTCATTAATATTTCAGAAGTAGATTTTTAAAATTTTACTTATAAACACATAACAAAAATAAGAGATTTAGTCTTCCCAAGATTTTTAAATTATTCTAATTTAACCTCAAAACACACATGTCATTATTTATTGAACAAATATAAACAAAATGAAAACGCTGTGTGTAAAGAAATTTTTGCCAGGTGCTGACATACTAAAGAAGTGATTATTATCGGTGTCAGCTATAAAAATTGGAGTTTTGAGAGTTTTCTGGTCTGGAGCATACAGGTGTGTGTTAGCACAACACCAACAAGTAAAGATATCATTAATGACATTGGAGAACTACGGATTAGGGGCTGCATGACTTTTATTTTTTTTATTCGACCGTCAAGTAATGAAAATAGTCGTCTTTGACTAGTCGTCGATGACATCATACACCTGAAGCGGGTTGGTTCGCTAGAGTTTTTGACAATTAAAATTGCGCCCACATTTTCTAAGTTAACACATCTCTTTTAACAAGGGTAGTTTCTGCATCTTGCTGCGGTTCTAAAAGATCTACCGACCGCAAAAACAGCGGAGTGCACGCCGTGTCGGCTGCACCGGTGAGGTGCATCACCGGAGGACATAACAGGTGATGCGCTCCGCTCCACACATCAGGCACAAATAAAAGACAGAAAACATAAAAGGAAATGAGCCGACACAAACGATCGCGTGTTAAATTTGTTTTTGAGGTGGCGACACCTAATTTGATAATGTTACTGTGGCCGTGCTCAGGACGCAGATGCCTGGAGCGCGTGAACGATCAGAGCTTTGCATGCGCAAGCCGGTTAAGGTGAGGATGGGGGTGAGGGGAAGGTTAAATTGCAAGAGTAAAGGTCACGATTTGGTCAAATGTCTGTTTTACGGTGGGCGTCAGATACTGACGCTCTGGCACAGCACGTCACCTCCCAACACGCAGGGACTCGTCACTTGCTGTCTTTTCCGAGGACTCTATCTTATCGGTCATTATCACGCGACAGCGACTAGTCAATGAAAGGCATAAAAAGTCACTACAGAGCAGTGAAGTCGACTAGCTGATACAACCCTTACTATGGATGCCCTTCAATCTTGGGAGGGTTAAATGTCATTCCCAGTACTCTACAGTGGAAAACCTTGCTCATAATTACATGTGGAGTACATTTAAAGACAAAGCAGTCACCGTGAAATGTTCCAAGAATTGTACAAACCTAGGAGGTCCATCAGGTTAGAGATGGGGACAGGAGAGGCTTGTTTTGAGAGGGTTGCAGGAGAAATCATCTTTCTAGAGAAAACTTGGCAGCAGGACTTGGGTTTGTAAAGCCTAATTGTCCTCTGGACAGAGGATCAAAGTGGGGTCATTTATCCCTAAAGCACCATATCCCTTCAGTCAACACGGTGGTGGACGGCTCATGGTTTGGGATTGTTCTGTCCATCTTACATTCTTAAATCAACTGCTACCTTTCGTGTAGACCAAAGTATTCTAGAGTCAATAGTGGAAGTCTGGACCAACGATCCCAAACATAACACCATATCTACCTCAGACTGGCTGATAAAGAGAATTCAGGTGTTGCAATGGTCCAGAGTCCAAACCTCAACCTGAATTAAATGCTATGGTGGGATCTTAAGACACCTCTACAGAAGCAGACATCTGCAAACCTCGATGAACTTAAGCAATGTGATAAAGAAGAGCGGGCAAAAATTCCTCCACTATGATGTGAGAGACTCAAGTCAGACAGAAAACGGCGACTCAGAGGTACTGCTGCGGTTTCATGAGGTGAGCTTCCCTTTTCACACAGATTTTTCCACTATTGCTCTTAAACTGTGGTGTTCCAGATGAATGGCATGGCACACATTAGCTGATTTTCCAAAGCTGGAGCTAAGCTGCAAATGAGAGAGCAAATTTACCCAGAGCATGATGGTGACAACTAGTGTCAGATGCTGAGGACAGTTTGTGCCAAAAAAGAGTCTAAAAAGAAAAGCTTGCATGTGGCTAAAAGAAATCTGGACCCCCAGCAGTGATTTGGATCGGAGCGCAGTGTGGCTGCAGCCAGCATGTCTGGCTGTGCTCACATTGTATTGTACAGTATGTCACTCCTCATACTTTCACCTTACATTACCTACTGCAAAGACGGGCCAGTATATCCAACAAAAGGAGAGGGGAGTGGAAACTTTAACAAGAAATGAGCGTACAGTATCCACCCAACCCTCCTGGGGATTCATGTTCGGTCTCCAGGCTGCTGGCCAAATAACTGCTACAAGTTTGGACTATATAGGTCACAGAAGCACACTTTACCCTCTTGTAGCAAGTTACTATACACCGATTTCAATTGTTGCAGTACTTAGGACTTCAGTGGCTCAAATTAAACCATAGTCTCAGGCCCAAGCAGAAGCCTGTCCTGGTGGGAGGAGAAACAAATGTGCAGGGAAAAAAAACCCTTCGAAGGTGTGTCAATGTCGTGACAGGGCGGTGGCAAAATGGAATGTCTATTCTCTTCACAATAAAAGCATGATTTATGGTGACCCTTTATGCTTTGTTGAAGCATATGTTTATGTTTACTTTTTGATTTATTCGACTGCAAACATCTGGAGTTATTTGGCCTACATACAGAAAGCTGGACGGACTCACCAAAATTATTGCATAAATGTCATTTTGTGATGGTCACAAGATTACAAAACTACAACAGCTTTTTTCGGATCAAATGTAAAAGAAAATCATTTTGTTATTGACCTATGTAAGTCCTGACTATAAGTCAGGATTTTGGAAATACTTACATTCAATGAGACCCTCTCTAACATAACATTTTTTTCCTAATAAATCTTGACTAAACCCCCTAAAGAACTTCATTTATTAGTTATTTATTTAAATAAATAAATAATAAACAGTAAATTTAGCTACACCTTTATTCAAGTGACAGATTTCAGCAAACATAGAAAACTAGTGATCACAGACTAATTAGAAAAAAATAATCAGCTGACTGCCAGTTATAAAATAAAATCACTTTATAATCTAATGGCATTTACTGTACAATCTAAAGTGCATTTCTTAGTTCTAGCCCTGGAAAATCTTACTAAGTGAATGAAAAATAAAAACTGAGAACTTTGGTAGTTTAACAGTAATTTACAGCCATTCGAACCTATGAAAAGCGCTTGACATTATATTTAATAGTGTAAATATGAATTTTACTTTGAAAGTCTCCCCGGAAACGTCCTCGTAGGTTCCGCTACCTTGATCAAGGACAGCTTTATGACAATTAATATTGGGAGCGACCTCACGCGGCCTTTACCGGACAGCCCTTTATAAATGGGCATAATCCCGTCCGGGCTGCGTGCGGGGCGGGCTGCCGGTGATAGGCACGTGTCCGAGTGTGCAGAGACGATAAGCTTTAGTGGGTCAGGTAGAAAAAACACCCCCGGGGCCGCATTTCAGACCGAACGCACTCGTTAACCCCGGTAAAAGCGCGAGCCCGCTCGCACGGTCCCTCGCGCTGTCTGTCTGCCTCTGGTGGGTGAAGAAGACGGTGCGCTCCGGTTTAACGTAACCTGCAAGTGTCACGGGAAGGTGGCTGCGCGAACGGGAGCGCACCGGACGACATTTAACATCCATTCGTTATGGACGGCTGACCGGTTAATGAGACTTACAAAATAAAGAAGAGAAATCCCCAAGTTCACTCGCCCCGAACCTCTCGGTCCTCACATCATCTGCTAAAACGGAACCAATGGATTGGCTCTGGAGCGCGCGCCTGTGACGACTTTAGGAGAAGGCTGTAGCTAACTTAAGAGGCAACGATGTCCGTTCACGAGCCAATGTAAGGGGTTTATACTTACTGTATCGTCCTTCCCTCAGCCACCCGGACCCTGACGATGGCTCACTCCTTCTCTCCCCCTCTTGTCTCCCCCTCCTCGCGTTCTACCGGGTCCTCTCTCCCCGCTGCTGCGGGCTCGCGCGCACTCGCTCTCTATCACGAGGCGCAGAGTCTGCGGCACATTTCCGCGGGGTCCTAAAGCCGACCATAACAAACTAGAAGCACAAGGTGATGGTGGCTAAAATGAATGATGAATCTGCATCATCATAAAATGAACAAACAACCCTGTAAAAAATTTATTTTTAACGAAGCAAAATAAAGGAGTTGATTTTAAAAGGTGCCAATGACCGTATGGTAGCACATGTATAACTGTTTCCTATTCTATCACATTTCTTTGTGTTTTTCAATTAGGAAAATGCAAATATGCAAAGTAAACATCAAAACATGCAGTTCAGTCAGAAATCACGTGGCATGACAAGGCAATTGTACAATGTCAACACAGTTTCCTTCATTGAGAGTTTTGGTAGAACAGGTGAGAAAGCTCCGCCCATTTTGGAGCTCACATTTCCAGGTAGAAACCCCAGAACACACATACAACAGAATTTGACATGGCTGTCACTGTGTTATAATCTAGTTCGCTGGTTTTACTTCACTCATATTTACACTCTAAATATCCACAAATGATACAATAAAACGTTTTTAAATTCAGACATGACTTCCAGAGGGTTTGCGAATTATCTGTCTGTCTTTGGTTACCATGGCGATTGCAATGAGCCTCTAGTTACAGCTTTAACATTTCTTTTAATCTTTGTTTTACAGTTTACACATTATATCATAATATAAGCAATTTATATTAAAAAGTTGATGTTGGAATTTCAAATAGTGGCGACTTTGGCCCCTTCATAAATCTCCTAGTTTAGTTTAAACTTAACATTCACAAGTTTCTATTTTATTTATTCAGCTGTTTGTCACAGCCTAAAGAATGGAGCATGTTGGCCTGTTTTCCCGCTCGATTTGGATCAAACTTTCTCCACAGCTATAGGCGAAAGTTAGGCCTGCAGAAACATGTTCAAACCTGCTGTCTAACACAAGTTGACACCCTAATTTGACAGAAGACACTTGAAAATATTGCATAAGCACAGGTAGCAAGAAATATGAAATTACCTCAGTAAAAGATTTAAAAAGCTAAAATAAACATCTGCTGTTTGTATTCTATTTTTTTTTCACTTCTACATTAATAATGACGAAAGTGCAGCTGTTGCTTTTTTAAATCTAAGTCTATTTTCATGCCAGATTCAGTTTTAATATAAATTCTAAATTAAGTGTGAGATTTTTGACCCACTCATTTGTGAATTTATTTCAATCAGTTAAAAATTTTTATTAATTAATTTTGTTTTATTTCAACAGTCAAAACTGAACTTGTAAGGAATTAATTAAAAATGTTAAAAAAAGAAATGAAATTTAAAACTAAGTCATTTTAACTGCAAGCAGTTGTGATTTGTGTAGTTAATTTAACCAATTATAATAAAGATGTTATCTTTAAATGTGTATTGCAATGCTAAAATGATGTTGTTTCTCATCAAATAATAAATGCATTTTTACTTTACTAGTGAATTAATTTGTTGCTGCTTCATTTGTTGAGTCAGATTAAAATTTGTTCTGTACCGGCACACCGAACTTATCTCCACTGTAGAAGTTTAAACTCAGCTTGACCTCTAAGAAAAAAGATCTTTACTAGACTGGGTTGCAGTGTGTGAGTGTGTGTGTGTGAGGTGGGGGTTATTTATAGCTTTAACAGGGAGGTCACAAACAACAATCCAGCCTCAATCAGCTTTGTTTAGACAATGACTTTACACCCTCACAAACCCACATCTGACCTCTGAAGGATGCTCATGGGAATCCTGAGAATGAGGACATTAAAACTAAATTAAAAAAGGAAGAATTTTATTTATTATCATCAAAATAAGAATTCTGAATCTACAAAAATCACCTACTGATTCTGTGGGTTTGCTGTAGCTTCAGTTTACAAATGTTGTGCATCAAATGTTTGCTTTCCAGGAACAAATCACATAATGTGGTTTCCATCTTGTTCCGTTGGTTTTCTTCATTAGATGTGACTGCTTGGCTAAACCTGAGCAGCACAGAAGGGAATCACATGGGTCATGAGAGAAAACTGGTGCGTTACATGGCTGTTTTTGTGTAGCAGAGCAGCTTTAAATCCAAACCTACAGCAACAGAGACAGAGAAACTCAGAAAGTTCATGATAAATATTATTTATTAGATGAAACACAAGATGCACATTTTTCACTCGTCAGCTCCAGCAGGTTCAGAGCTGGAGGTGTTTACAGTTTCATGTCAGGACAAGTCCTTCTCACTATTCCACTCAGTCACGCACGCACGCACACACACACACACACACACGCACACACACACACACGCACACGCGCACGCGCGCACACACACGCACACACAAACACACACACACACACACAGAAACATAAGTTCAAACATTGTAAATCGTTTATACAATCAGCCAATCATCCCATAGGCTCATCCCAGTCACAGCAGACAACACAAAGAGTGGGTTAAAAACTGATACGTAATAAAATAGCTTCAAAATAAAAGTGGAAGAGCAGGAAAACGGCTTTTGTCGACAAAAATACACAACCGTTTCTAAATGAAAAGAAACCCAAAACCATCTTTGGATCTTGTAGGGTCTGTTTCTTTTGAGGGGGTTCTGGGTGTGGTTCGTAATCCACAGAGCTCAAACTGAAACCATTTTACAGAAATCACAAAAAAGTGAGTTAGGAGTTTAGACACCAAAACACTTGAGTTACAAAGCCGGTGTTTTATTTTGAGTTGCTAGTTTCCACAAAAGCAAAACTGGAAGTTATTTAGCTCCGAATCAACGAATGTCGTCGTTTACATTTACTACAGCTCGACTTTATTAAGATGTTTAAATAAAGCCGTTGAGATAGTTTCAGCATTTGGCAGCGAGAAAGAAAACGTTCGATCGCCCACAAGAAAACTTGCTATTCAGATTTTTCGTGTGGAGCTCTTCACCCACACTACAATAAAAAAACACGTTTCAGATTAAACTGTTTAGATTATCTGCTGCAGGAAAATCATTGTTTCTGCTTCACGAATCAGCACCACATCCAGGTTATTCCTGTGAAATGTAACTTCCATCCATCCATCCATCCATTTTCATCTGCTTGTCCGGAGTCAGGTCGCGGGGGCAGTAGCCTAAGGCGAGAGGCCCAGACTTCCCTCTCCCCAGCCACTTGGGCCAGCTCCCCCAGGGGAATCCCAAGGCATTCCCTGGCCAGGTGAGAGACATAGTCCCTCCACCGTGTCCTGGGTCTACCTTTTAGGTCTCCTCCCGGTTGGACGTGCCCGGAAAACCTCACCAGGGAGAAATCCAGGAGGCATCCTGACTAGATCCCCGAGCCACCTCAACTGGCTCCTCTCGGTGTGGAGGAGCAGCGGGTCTACTCCGAGCTCCTCCCAGATGACCGAGCTTCTCACCCTATCCCTAAGGGAGAGTCCAGCCACTCTTAGGAAAAAACTCATTTCGGCCGCTTGTATCCGAGATCTCGTTCTTTCGGTCACTACCCAAAGCTCATGACCATAGGTGAGGGTAGGAACGTAGATCGACCGGTAAATCGAGAGCTTCGCCTTCTGACTCAGCTCTCTCTTCACTGCGACAGACCGGTACAACGCCCGCATCACTGCAGATGCAGCACCAATCCGCCTATCGATCTCACGCTCCAGTTTTCCCTCACTCGTGAACAAGACCCCGAGATACTTAAACTTCTCCACTTGAGGCAGGACCTCATCCCTGACCCGGAGAAGGCACTCTACCCTTTTCCGAATCAAGACCATGTTCTCAGATTTAGAGGAGCTGATTCTCATCCGAGCTGCTTCACAATGAAATGTAACTTAATACATCAAAATCTAGATAAATAAAGGATTAGATAAAAATATAGGTTAAGATTTAATTTGGCATCTAAAGATGATTTAAGTAGTTTTGGGTGAAATAAAGTTTGACTGAAGTGGTTAAAGTAAATGTTTCTTTTCTTAGACATTAGTAAATGTCACAGATTGACTGGTACCAGAATACGACCCGAGCTGCCACACCAGCACCTGAGGTTCTGTTTCTCTCCAGAAGCATAAACGTGGACGACTCAAACGTCCAGCAGAACCAGTTAAGAGGAAGCGCTGCTTCGCCCAAGCATCACGAACAAGCTTTTACATCACCGATCTTTATAGCTTGGTGGGAAACGTCCCATTAAAGCTTAATGTCTCAGCAGGATCTGACCACCCTCATGTACATAAAACACTCAAACAAAAAATAAATGGGAAAAAAATTCTAAGCAATAAATACGAAGCACACAGTGCTCAAACTTAATCGTTACCGCTCATCTTTCTCGTTTTCGGTTTATTTTTCCTCCGATTCCCGCTCCGACTTGTCTCATTTCCATCCTGATCCTGAAACTTTCCCGCTCTAAAATCCACCACAAACACGTCTCTCTCTCTCTCTCTTTCTGACCTACGTGACCCCTCTGCACCCCAACAAGGAAGAGCAAACACACACACACACACACACACTCATGCTACAGTACAAATCAGTAGATTTCAGATTTTTTTTTCCTTTTTTGGTTTGGCTATGCACGATCAAATCAAAACGATCAAACCACAGTGAAAAAACACAAAATCACAGATAATCAGCAGTAGAGACTCAGCAATCTTTGGGTGTCCAGCATTGTGATTGGTTGATTGGTGGAGGAGCTCCAGTCCCCGGATGAGTCCTGAGAGGGTCAGTTGTCTTTGGCCATGAAGAATCTCCACTCAGCCTGAGAGGAAAATGCATAAAAACACAAACTAACCTGAGCTTGTTGGCAGATCTGGAGGAAAAGCGGGTGAAACTTTTCACCAATAAAAAAACCACAAACCTGATCTGAGGGACACAAAGACCGACCCGAGCGTTGGGAACGGCGTGTCCAAACAAGTTCAACGATAATAAACACAGAGTCGAGTCATTAATCCTTTGCTTTGTCCCGTTTGTTAAACAGTAGTTTGGTTGTGTTTTGATGCTGCATAAGAGTTAAGGGTTTAAAACAGGAGCTCATAACGGTTACTTACTGTTTTTGTGTGATGTGTTGTCAGCTTTTAACCTGCTAAACAGAAAAGGAAGGTTTTAATGAGCCACGGACACAAAACAGAGCAGGCAGATAATAAAACAGGTAGCAAAGGAGGCCAAAACGAGAGCAATAGCTGAATCCTGACCTCCTGTCTGTCTGCAGGTCAGAGGATTCTAACTACAGGTTGATGTTTTAATGGGAGCGACTCGGAGCAGGAAGCAGACCAGGAAGTGGTTTCACCACCTCAGCTCTGCAGGAGGGGCTCCATAAACAACAGCTAATGAGATGTTAATAAAGCTAACCTCAGTGAGCGCCTGAAGAAGAAGAAGCAGTAAAATCCAGCAGCACTCTTTTATCCAGACGGGCGTTTTTGAAAACGTCCCTTTAAAAGAGGTTTTTGTGATTTTACCAACGAGTTAAACTTATTTTTCCTCAGAAACGCCCGTTCAAAAGCAGAATTAGGTTTCTTAGAGAAGTGTGGGCAAAGGCAGGAAAATGAATGAATGGAAAAAGACAAGAAAGGATATTGATTTACCTCTGTCTTTCCCATTCAGCAGCCGCTCCTCCTCCTCCCGACCTTCATCTGTTCACAACAGAGTAAAGAGTTGCCTTGTGAGTACTTGTCTGCTCAACATCTCATTATTTCTTGATTCTTTTTCTTCTTTTATTGAGTTTTTTTTACACAAAAATAGAAAAAAAAACCTCAACTAAAACTTTTTTCTTGTTTTTCATGTTTGAAGCTGCAGAAATCATCAAAAGTGCATTCAGAGAAGTTCTTTACCAGAGTGGAGCTCTTTGACCAGTGAGGACACGGTGTTGGTGATGGAGTCGGCTGCTACCAGAAGGTCATTTCTCAGGTTCCTTCTTGGGGCTGAAAAGATCAAAATGTTGTTGTTTTTAATTCAGCATAAACATGGCTACATTTGTGTTAGGAATTTATTCTAGTGTTATATTGACTTAATGTAATACCAAAGGTTTTGAGTGTTGCTCTGAGGAAAGACAATTTAAGGATGAATCAAAGGAAAAAAAGTAAAATTTTGTGTTTATTTCCAGGACTTAAAGTTGCAGCTTAGATCAAGTATTTTTTAAGTTGCTGTCCTCATTAAAAGAGCTCATTTTTAGCTGAGCATCATTTATCCTAGGGTAAACATTTCTGAATTTAGGAACATGTAAGAATTTAAGTCTGTTGCTTCTTTATAGATATTTTCTCGTTTTGTTTATTTTTATTGTGTTGCTAGGCAGAAATTCCACATCTACCTTGAGCAAAGGCCTCTTGCACATCCCCACCCACCCCAGCGAGGGAGTCCTGAGGAAGGTACATGTGAGCCTGAGGAGATCCGGCACCGACATTGCGGGCGGTTGCAGGACTCGGTCGAGCAGGAGAGGCGTGGGAAGAGCCGGCTGCTTGAGCCTATCAGAAACGTTTTTACTGTTACTGCTGCTCTCAAGGCAAACAGAAATGATTATTTCTGTAACTTTCTGTAGCAAACAGCAGAAACTGACGCTTAAAAAGCGGACTAATTTAGAGTTTATAATCCAGGCTAGATCTCAGGAGCATCAACTTACTGCCTGTCGCTGCTCCTCATCCTACAGGGCAGCCAGAAACAAAGGAGGAGGAAAAGAAGAAGGATGGAAAGGTGAAAAGGTGACATCACACAAGAGGAAAGGACTGTGAGGAAGGCGTTAGAGCAAAGGCTGGAACATACGTAGGGAAGTGGGAAAACTACAACACAACATCCTGAGACTTTATTTAGAGACGAGTCACCTTGAGCAGCTTCATCAGTCCCTCCAGCTGTACCATCAGCTCCCTCCTGCTCTCCTGGAGACACGACATCCTCTGCTCCAGTTCATCTTTCCTCTGTCTGCAACACACAAGCCAATCCAGAGTCACGGAGGGCAGACGCTGGAAAAACAACACATTTGTCATAAATGTTTATTTATTACACAATAAATCAGACTTCATTGTGATTTTTCTGGTTCCTTTGTAGTTTGATGAGCTCTGTTAACAAGAAATGAGACTTTTGTGGCTGAAAAGGCCTCAAATGACGCCAAAGTGAAGCCTGGAGGAGAGCTTTACCAGAGGAAAATAAAATCCCAGAGTCACTGGATGTGGGCACGGATTACTGGAGATCAAAGGAGAAGGGAACATTAGAGCTTGAAATCCGACAATTCCTGAGCTGAAAGGCTGCAGAGCCAGAGGTGAGCAGAGAAACGCTGAAGAGTTCAGACGGATGGATACAAAACACACTCCTTCTAGCAATAAGGAGGGATCAAATCCTCCAAGCAGGAATTTTAATGCACTTGAAGGAAGCGAGGATTTAAAGAGAATGAATGAATGACCCGCACTTGTAAAGCGCCTCTCAGAGTTAGAGGACTCCAAAGCGCTTTACACTACAGTGTATCATTCATCCATTCACACACACATTCACACACTGATGGTGATGAGCTACGACGTAGCCACAGCTGCCCTGGGGCGCACTGACAGAGGCGAGGCTGCTGAGCACAGGCGCCACCGGTCCCTCCGACCACCACCAGCAGGCAAGGGGGGTTGAGTGTCTTGCCCAAGGACACAACAGCAGCATTCTCTGTTCGGAGCCGGGATCGAACCTGCAACCTTCCAATTGCTGGACAACCCGCTCAATCTGTAGAGCTACTGCTGCCCACACAAGAGGTGTTTAGAGCCACTTTTTTCTAAACGATATGTGGTCTGGATGGGACATTAGAACATAACATCAGCTGTTGGTTTACTCCCCTGGCTTCTCTTCACATGAGATAAAAGAATAAATAAATAAAACAAGATCTGGCTCAAGGGTTTTTGTTCATTTGATACCAAAGCGATGATTCAGAGTCCCAATGGGACAGCTAAATCAATAATGTTAAAGATTTATTGTAAGTTTCCTTCCAGTGAAACACTTTTCGTCTTTTAGATCTCACATTGTTTACATTCACTGTAACTCATATGCTTGGGAAACAGTTTAGTGTCTGTTGGGATGAAAATCACAAATGATGTAGGAAAGGTGTAGAAATATCCAACTAGCTTATGTAGATACAAACTTGCTGAATACAGAATTTCATCACAACCGGAGAATGAAAAATCTAAAAGATACAGCGCTTTTATTTCCTCTCATCTAGATTATGATTAGATTATCTTATTTTGGGTTTTTTACTCCTAGTTTGTTTTTTAGAATTAAGTAAAGGTTTATTAGTGTTCTCTCCTGGCTTTCGACGCTATTCCAGACGCTGTGAGCCGTAACTTTCCTGTTTGAGTTTAAAAATTTCTGACTTGGCACCCCCGTGTGGTTTTACTGCAGCAGACATCACGTTCCAAACATTGTTTAAACAGTAAATCTTAATTTTTCTACAATCAAAACCAAAAAATGTTACAACTAAAACAGCAGCTAAATATATTTTACTATTTTATTTTTAGAGTTACTCTAAGAAGCCTTTAAAACTAATAAAAATACAGATTATACCCACTATAATTCACACATAAATCAGTTATTAAACTAACAAGCAGAATCACACGTCTTCTTTCCACCATCTGTCCCTGCCATCTGCTGTGAAGATCTCTCCCTCTGTGCTGCAGAACAACACAGCAAATTTCCCGCCAAATCTAACCAATGCGGCGGCACGGTGGAAAAGTAAAACCCTGCGTGTCCTCACTGGAGTCGGTGATTACCTGAGCTGACGGAGCTCGGCCAGCAGAGCCGGGTTGGTGCTGCCCTTTTCCGGACTGGGCTGGCACGCCGCGTCGTACTCGGCACGGAGACGTTTGATCTCTGCGGAGATCTCTCTGGGAAATGAAAAGCACACGGGTCAGCAAAGGTGCTATAAATACACTAAATAACAGGGTAGGAACGCACACTTCTGCAGGTTGATAGGAATTATGAAGAGATCCGTATGTCTACGCCCACATGTCAACTAAAGACACACTGTGAAAAGCTACCTGTAGAAACTACCCAATAAAACTGAGTGAACAATTTGCACACATTCTGCTTATGTAATTTAAACCCCATATGTGTTTGTAAGTAGTACCTTATGTTCAAAGTTAAGAAACACCTAAAGGAATTGGGTAAAATCTTAAAATATTACCCAATTTTCTAAGCTCTAAAATAATAATATAAATTGGACACACGTGTCAAAGCTGGGATCCTTCCGCTTGGCGAACCAGCTGCTGTACTGCTGCTGCACAATGCAACACTAGTATAAATAAGAACTGATTCAACCAAAGGCAATACAAAACAGCTTATTTTGGTTTACAAAAGCTGAACTAAACTTGCATTCACTGTTGCTCAAGATTTCCTTTAGACATGCTGACAAAAGTGTAACAGTAACCACTTCAATTGGAAAGCCAATACAGCACGGAACTGTAAACAGATATTCTGGCCAACATGTACAATTGTTCTATTTGTTAATTAAATAAAACTGGTAATCCGGCAGTGCTGAACTAGTATTTCCAGGTCAGTTCTACTCCTTATAATTGTGTTATATTTGTTAATTAAATAAAATAGGTAGAATTAACTCATCTGTCTTTATTTCAGTCTTTAACTAATATATTTAGTCACATTTTCGATGATTTTTTTGGGTGATATTTAACTCATTCGCTGCCAGCGTTTCTCACCGTTTTTACTGTTTTTTTTAAGAGTCACAGAACGTTGTGTGCTAGGATGATGTCGACGCCAAAACAACCAAAACAAAGTGGAGACGCACCTCTTACATCAGGAAAAATACTTGTGTTTCTAGCGTTATCCGTTCTTTCATAATCCGTTGTTGAATTGTGATCGGCAGAGGCTTTTCCGGTTGGCGACTCATATTTTTTTTACAGCAGCAGCCCAAAACGATCTCCTAACACATGGATTTTCTGCTTCCTGATTACGTGACGTGTGACGTATGCGGATGAAGATCGGCTTCAGAGCTGAGATGTTTGTTCTCACGGTGGGGGGGGGGGGGGGGGGGGGGCTCGTTCCGATGCCCACACAGTAAAAAATGCAAATGACGACTTTAGTCGTCATTGGCAGTGAATGAGTTAATAAAAAATCATTTTTCTCAGTGCAGAATGTGCGCTCTTATTGTGACAGGACAGATTGCTAAATAAGCCACCAGCTAGCATCAGCCTAAAACATCTGCATGCATCTGTACCTGTTTTTGCACTCCAGCTGAGCAATGAGCTCCCTCTTCTGCTTGTTCACGTCAAAGTTGATGCTTCGTGTTGGAATCACCTGAAGCATAAGCAGCATTACTAGAACATATTTAAAAACACATTAGATACGTTTTAAACTGTTGTTTGTTTGTTTTTAACCGACTCCTGTGCTCTCCGTCTCAGCCAGTCGGGAGGTGTAGCGAGCAATCAGTTTGTGCTCCTCATCCTGTCTGCTGGGACTGTCCAAACCACTGAAGCACAAAAAACAAACTTTTTAGGTCCCATTTAACAGTATTACAGAAAATATAATGAAACAGACTAAAATGACACACTGCCAAGTTTACAGAAAAGGCTGGAGAGGCACCAAATTTATGTTTGAAACATTATTTTGTTTGAGTTGAGATGGTTTTTCCTTAGTTGAAGCTGTATTGCTGTTACTCCCAGAACTTGTCATTTTATCTATTTCTTTATTTTAAAAAAGGCCAAAACATCAATAAAAGTTCATTTAAGAAGAGAAAAATATTTCGAGTCTCTGTATAAATTTGTTATTAAAGGTGTGGAACACCGACAAAACATTTTTTAATGGTTGTTTCTGACTAGAATCAGTCATTCTCGAGTTTTGCACGCAGGCAGAACATGAAAAGTCTCCTACACCCACCTCCGGTATTAGCTTCTGATAAAAAAAACAGACGGTGAAACTCTAGGATTAGAAAATCCTGACAGATCTACATCACACTGTCGCTTAACATTACCATCTTGACTCACGACTGGGAAATCTGTTGTTGTTTTGGTGTCCAGGAAACAGCAGAGAAAGTCTCTGCTAGTAGAAGCTAACTGTTAGCATTAGCAACTCCACCATACAGCAGAACTGCTCCAGGCTTGTGTTATTTGTGGAGATAAAACATAAATGGTGCAGAGTAGGGCTGCAACAAACGATTATTTGGATAATCGATTAATCGGATGGGGTCTCGACACGATTAATCGATTAATCGGATTACATGGGGAAATTTTTAAAAACTGCTTGGGAAACGTTATTTCTCTCCTTCCTTCACTTTATTTAACACAACATTATTAGAAAACAGTTCAATAGCAGAAAAATAACATGCCATCACCTAAATTGTCTTATAAGGTGTATAGACAGAGACCCTAAGCTACATCTATCTGTGACCTAAAATGCTTGGTCCAAGTTAAACAGCTTAAGGGCAATTCTCATCTGTTTTGTTTGATCTCATCTGTTGACATTTATTTTAAATGTAATTAAACATAGGCTGTGAATTAATCAAAATTGATCACTATTTCCAAAAATGACTGAAAAAATACCAAATAAAACAAAAGTAAATGAATGCCATCCTCCTTGCGATGATGCCCTGGGCAACTGCCATAAAGTCACATCAAGAAATGCTGCTGATCATTCCAATGATCCCAAATAGACTCACATTAGGCCACATGAAAGCAACTGAACCCAAAAATATATTAACCAGTATATAACTGCACTCTCACACAACACGCCTGCAGCAACAGTTAGGACTCCTCCCTCCCTTTTAAAAGCGTTTTTGCTTCTGAGGACATTGTGGTCGTAAAACCACATGCTAGTAGTCTGGCCCCGGTGTGATCAACCAGTTTCTGCGGGAATGTGACGGCAGAACCAGGGCCAGATTAACACTTTGTTGTACCCTGGGCAACAATATTCAAGGGCTCCATCATCACGACCCAAGGATCACCATAATGTGGTCACATACAGAATATTTTACTGTAATATGCAGTAAATATACTCAATACTTGAATGCCTGACGACACGTAACCCGCCCAGAGTAACCTTTGACCCACCTCGTGTGGACTGACCAATGAGGAGAGGGTCTTAACTTGAGGCCTTCTCTTCATTGGTCAGTCTGCATGAGACTGACTCTCAACTGACGTTCAGTCGTAGGCAGCGAAGCGTCTCTGTGCAGTGCAAAAGCACGGGTGGACAGTTTGTTTAATGTAGGGTGATCATATTTCCATTTCCAAACAAGAGGACAGGGGATCTATGCCTATGACGTCACACTATGGCAACGCCACACAAACCATGTTGGGACCCATTTTTTGTAAGAACTAAATTAATATCAGATTCTGCCAATTAAAGGGCTCTAAAACAATTCATATGTAAATATTTTGCATATTTAATGCAAAATCTAATTTTTCTGCTTTAGTGCTGCAACAAGGTTTTATTAATAATAAATTATTATACCTTTTGTTTTACTACAGCATCGGTAAGCTTCCTGTGCACAGATTATTAAGGATGCTTGTTTCAGCTGTGAGATTAGACGATAGGATCAATGAAAAAATAAGTTGTCACACACTCCATGGAAACTTTCAGAGAATCCACAAATAGTGGCTTTCAAATGGTTTTGTTACTTTTTGCAAGTTTATAAAAGAAGCAGATGAGACGGCATGTCTGATAATTTAGTTTTTCATCTGATAATATTAGAACATGTCAGTAATGTCTGAGGGGCTTTTATAAACACCGTATAACTAACACTCCTGGAGAGGGCATGAATTACACAGAGGCTTCTGGGGAGCCCAGTTATTGGGGGGGGGGGGGGGGGGGGGGGCATTTTGCCTTGGCCCCCAAAATGTCTTGAAACGGCCCTGGGTGTGTGACTGAGTTTTGAAGGTGATCTGAATTGTATCAGATGTATAAATATGACATGTGTATAACTTATTGTTTTTTACTGGTAAAAACTTGTAGTGGAGATAAATCTACCTACATTTGACTTTTCAACACTTTGTTTTGTTTTTATTTAACTATTTTCCTGTCCTGTCTGTCTCTCATCTTCCTGCATCTCCTCTTAATTCTCCAGAAAATCTGTTGCCTGGATTCTTACCTTTTCACCTCATCAGTTACTTTTGAGCAGATGAAAGGGATCTCCTGACCGAAAAGCGCAGAGCGCGTTTTCGATGCTGCGTGAGGTGACATCACCACAGCACAGGTGATGAGCTCCGCAGTAGCGCGCTTCAGGCACAAATAAGACAGAAAATAGAGAACATGTGCGGACATGAACGATCGTGTGCTAATTATAGTTTTTTGGTTGCGCCACTTTGAGAATGGACCATGCGCTGGAAGAAGCTGCCTGGATCGCTGCGCGACAATGCGGAACCGGTTCGCAGCAGCGCAAGTCTGCCGGCTCTCCCTCGCGCTGATCTGCCGGTACCGGCTCTCCCTCACGCTGATCTGCGGCTCTCCCTCGCGCTGATCTGCCGGCTCCCCTCGCGCTGATCTGTGGCTCTCCCTCGCGCTGATCTGACTTGCTCTGGTCTGCGCGCAACGGCGGGCGGGAAGGGGGGGGGGGGGGGGGGGCGCTTTTGGAAAAGTTGTGCGACACAACGAATCGATGACGCAATTCGTTGCCAACGCTTTTAGTAATCGATTTTCATCGAATTTATCGATTCGTTGTTGCAGCCCTAGTGCAGAGCAAACTGAGTCAGAGGTTGAGTCATGTTGCTGTTAGCCAATCAGAGGAGAGATGTCCGAATGTCAGGAAATAAAGACTCCAAATCCTGTGTTCTGGATCTCCACTGTGATGTAGCTCACTTTTAATTCCTGAAAATGGTGCACCAGGGTATTTTTCCCCAGAGTATGACTTACAAGACATTCTTTCCTACTAGAGATCACAGCAAATTACTCTAGAAAGTGCTTTATTAAATACAGGCCATTTACCAAATGTATTGATTAAACTAGTGTTCCACACCTTTAATAGCAGAGTAATAAAATGAGTCTGGAAGCCATAAAACACCCAAAACTGTAAAGAAAAAGTCAATGTACAGTCAGACAAATAGATTAAAGTATTATTCCCTACATGAGTCCCAATTTGCATAACCTAAAAGTAAAAATAGTCATTTCAATTAACTTCAAAAATAAATTCATTAATATTTATATCAGCTAGAAGAAGTAAGTAGTAAGTAAATTTTATTTCAATAGCACTGATCACAGACAGAATCACAAAGTGCTTCACATAGATAAAAAAAGTCATAAAATCATAAACAGATTATCATAAAATCAAAATGCTCTCAAAACAGAATCAGATTAACATCAGAAAAAATAAAGTCATAAAACTATAAATTTTCATAAACAGATGAAATATTAAACATTTGAGTTAAAAATGAGAAAATAAAAGGTTTAGGTAAAAGCAGCTTTAAATAAAAGGGTCTTTAGCTGTTTTTTTAAAGGTGTCCAGACTGTCAATGCTGCGTAAGGATAAAGGAAGATCATTCCAGAGTCGGGGTGCAACAGTCTGGAAGGAGCGATCACCTCAACATTTATATCTGGTCTTTGAAACTTCTAGAAGGTTCTGGTGTGTGGACCGGAGGGCTCGGGTTGGAGCATAAGGCTTTAACAGTTCAGTAATACAGGGAGGAGCTTGACCATGTAGAGCCCTGAAAGTTTTAGTCAGGATTCTAGAACTCTAAAGTTAACGGGTAACCAGTGCAGAGACATCAGAATAGAAGTCACATTTGAAGTAGTTCTTAGTAGTTTTTTGGCTGCTATATTTGAATAATCTACAAAAACAGTTAAACTGAATCTGCATTTGCTCAGACCAAACTGTACTCTGCATCTCCTCCGCCGATCCACTACCCCCCCATACGTGCGCCCCTCTCACCATGGCCCACTCTGCAGCCGATTCACATACGCTGCGATCAGAGCGTGCTCCTCGTTCATCCTCTGAGCTGCTGCAACACTGGGTGCAAACAAAAACAGACCATCATCAAATAATCAAATATGTTTTATAACCACAAAGCAGTATCTCATAATAAAAAGTAAAATATTTAATCGCCAGAAAATGACCTTTTTAATATGAATTACAACATATATCAACAAAAAGTTAAAAACTAAACCAACAAATCATTTAAAATGTGCCCAATAATTAGTTTTTGGATAGGATTCGGGTTGTTTTGTTGCTGACTATTGCTTTTCTTTCCCAAAAATACTTGTCCTACAAAAATGTAAGAAAAGTGAAAAAGAGTGTGACTCCTGGGTGTGCGAAGACAATAAAAATGAACATAATAACTTCCTACAGCCTGAAGGGAAGCCTCAAAGCGTTAGCAGACAGTAAAGTTTACATTTCTCTCCAGCTGAGGAGAGTTTTTACCTTTTGGACGACTCTGGCACTGATGAGGACAGCAACATGGCCTCATTGGTGTTCCCAACGGGTCTGGACGGGCTACAAACACACAAGAACTTTACTATCAGCAGAAAAAGGATTTAGAAGAAAACCCCTTTCTGCCTATCAGAAAACCCTCAGCCTCACATACTCCCTCGGTCACGTGAACTTAAGTGCATTCATGCAACAGTGAATGGTTTCGGTCTGAGCAAACACAGACAGGCCAAAGATCGACAGAGGGAGGGAAAACAGAGGGAAAATGGGACAGACGATGCATTTCTAAAGGCAAATTTACAAAACAGGAAGTTTGTATGAACGTCTGAGTAAAAGTAGGTTTATGTAGCATCAGCGTTAGCATACTCACTGTGTGTTCATTCAGTCTGGCCTGGATATAAAGCCTGCAGCTCTGTAATGACCCAGTCTGCAGCGGCCCCGATCCACCACAAGGGGTGGAGCAAAGGCAGCGTTTTGTTTAGGGGGGCGGGACTCTTAATTCATCAATGAAACCTGTATTTCCTACTTGTCTGTAGTTAACAATTCATGGATCAGTTAAACGTTAACCACATCAGCGCTTTTTAATGTGACCCGACCCAGATACCAGCTCTAGACACTCGCTGACTGAAACCAATCCTAAAAACGTGCCGTGAGGTCTTACACGATGTTGGAGAGGTTGAGGGTTCTCTCTGGTTCCTGGGAATAAATGGGGTGGGGGGGCTCCCTGGATGAGGCACAACCCAGACTTCTGCTCAGAGCTCGGCTAAATCTTTTTGCAGGTGACTCCTACAAACACAAACAAGGCAAATGTATCAGCTAATATGGTTTGAGGAAATTAAAATAACTATTTAAGCGAATAAAAAAAACAGGGCAGGATCATTTAAGTCACTGGAGAACTTAGTTGCTGGAGAAGAGTGAATAAAACGAGAAAAAACTCATTAGCATGACAGGCAAGAGCTGCTCTGAGAGGTTTATCCCTGTAACTGAGACATTAATAAGACAATGTGTGCTCTGAATAATTCAACAACCAAGTCTGCATTCTACTATTAATTCATTCTTTCATTAAAACATTCTCCCTTCAGGAGACTGGAGGCTGTCAGGCTGCCGTATCGATAAACAGATCACGACTCAGAAGGGTAACAAACTAAAATTTTGAACACAAACGTGTCAGAATTGAAGCCATTTTTAAATTCAACACTTACAAGTGAAGTCCAGTCTTAATGACTCAAGAAGAGCACTTGGTGTCAGCACAGAGAGCGCCTCCTGGTGTGACACTTGGGTAACCACATGCGACTCACCCAGGAGGAGTGTTCCTTCATGCGGTGCTGGTTGCTGTGGGAGCCACTGGCCTTGCCACGCCAGAAGCAGTTCTGGCAGAGCTGGTAACCACGGCAGCGCAGGCAGCGATAGCGGAAGCCAGTCATCCCGTTGCTGCGGCAGAAGGAGCACGCCACTGGATGATAGACTGGAAAAAATGGACAAATAAATCAGTCGGGTCTAAATTTACTTATTTTATCTAATATCAAAAGTTATTTTTTTGTCAATCTGTGTATAAATCTTGTAGATATTTAAAACTGCATTCAACACAGGTCAACTATTTATGTCCCAATCATTGAAAACTGCTGCTTTTTTAATCCAAAAGGGTTCAAATGAAGGCAACTGGACTGCTTTGGTGTCAATTCTGACTGGAATATGGGAGGGTCAAGCTTACTCCATATTCCAAGCCATATTTCAGTTAGAATTCACAAAGCTCTTTCAAGTTCAAGTTTATTTTATTTTATTTATAAAGCCCCTTCCCACCCACAATCAAGGCGGCCCAAGGTGCTGAACATGGTGCAGAGAAGCAGCACAATAAAACAACTCTATAATAAAACACAGAGATAAAAACCTTCAAAAACAAAAAAAGGGGCTAAAAGCTATGTAAGAATAGTGATCAAAAACATTAAAATGGAAAAAGAAACAACTAAGAAACAGATCTAAAATACAGCTTAAGCCTTGCTTTAAGTGTTCAATAGGGCTTCACAATATATCGCAAATGCATCGTTATCGCGATATCAGCATGCGCAATATGCATATCGCAAAGAACAGATAAATATTGGAATGAATGGTCAGCTCAAATGTTTGCTACACACAATGTATTCTGTCAATCAAATGGAAGCATGATGTTTTTTAACAAGTCAAATAGAGCTCTTCACCCATTAGGCCAACTGGGTGGGTTCTCATAGGTTAGATGCCCGCCCCCGAGGTGGACGGCACTTCATTTTGATGGTTAGCAAACACTGGAGTTAGCTTTGTTCTGCTCTTTCTGCTTTTTCTGGGATCCACTGATTGTCTTTTCTTGTTCTTTTTCCCTTTCCTCACATCTTTTGCTTTTCTCATTTTTATGATGTTTTAGTCATTTTTTGAGTTACGTTTTTATTTATCGCAAGTAATATCGTCATCGCAGTATTAATCACTGTTATCACATATCGCAGGTTTTCCTAATATCGTGCAGTCCTAGTGGGCAGAGATGTGGACGGCTTGATTTCTTGTGGGAGTTGGTTCCAGAGCCGAGGACCCAGAACTGCAAAGGCACGATCACCCCTAGACTTACACTTTGATCGCAGCACCACCAAAAGGTCACTCTGACCCGAACGTAGCGATCTTGCAGGGACGTAACGGGTCAGCAGGGAGGCTTAATATAGTGGCGCTGATCCAGACAGGGATTGAAAAACAAGGACCAGGATTTTGAACAAGATGCAACTGTTCACCGGTAACAAGTCCAAAGTTGTCAGGAGGGGAGTGACATGCTCCATAAAGAAATCTGGGAACAGCATTTTGGACCACTTGGAGCAGAGTCATTAAGGACTGGCTCAAGCCAGCATACAGGGAGTTGCAGTACTCTAGCCTAGAGATGATAAAAGCATTGGCTACAGTTTTCAACTCAAGTTTTGTTAAGATCGACTTAATATTAGATAAGCGCCTTAACTGATAGAAACACAAACGAACGACAGAGTTCCCCTGACTATCAAATCATAGACCAGAGTCTATCTTGGATGAGAAGGGAACCTAAGAAGTCCAGTTGCCTTCATCTGAACCCTTTGGATTACCTTGACTGAGAACCTTCACCAGTATGCTGCTTTTTGTACTTACATCGCTATAAAAACCACCAAAACTACCGCATTTGACCTACTTGTTGGTTCTGTTCAACAAAATATGGCAAAAATGTCAATTAACATGAGTTTTTAGGAAGATCGCAGGACATGTTCAGTTTTAGTTTTCCATTTTTCAAATCCAAATGTTGATTTTATCGCCACCTACTGGTTCAGCAGGACTATTTCAGCTTTTTACAAGAAATTTCAGGGTTTTCTTTTTTCAGTTAGGAAAAAAAAAACTGATTACTAAAAATCTGAAGGAATTTATTTTAGGACGTAGACGACATATCACACAGATGTAACAATATGTAGTGTGTGTGTGTGTGTGTGTGTGTGTGTGTGTGTGTGTACCGTGCTCCACGCTGGCCATGCGGTGCATCACAGGCAGCCAGACGAGGCATTCAGGAGGCTCAGCAACAATATCCAGGAACATGTTGAGCATCACCTTCTTCTACAAAACATGAGCAGAATGTTTAGAAATCACCAACAAAAATGAAAAAATAAAAACATTTTTAAAAGACAAGATCAAACAAATTAACATATCATAAATGATTAATAAAAGTGTGATGTGTGAAATGTTAGTTTTGATACTCTTTAGATTTGTGTGTGTGTGTGTGTGTGTGTGTGTGTGCGCGCGCGCACACCTGCTGTGGGAAACAGGAGCGTGCCACGGTGTGTGTGTAACCAAAGGACGGTTCTTCATGTAAAGCCGTGGGCAGCTTGAGCGCCTCCCTTAGAAAACTGTCAAATTTGGACAAAACTAACACACCCTTGGAGTCTGATACCTGAGAAAACACATCTGTGAACACAGAACGGTTAGACAGGTTAGCATTTGAATAATTTTGTTCCCTAAAGGAAGATTTCACTCTAACAAACTCACTTTTCTTTAAAGAGCAAGTCACCCCCAAATAAACTTTTTTTTGCTGATAAACTAAATAAACGAGTGTCTAATTGTGCTGCAGACACGTGTCGTCAATAATTTGGCACTTCAGTGCATCTTAGTTAAAATTTAAATATTCTGCCTAAAACTGGCAGTGTTGTGCTGTTGTCAGGTAAAAACTCTGCACTGTATTTTAATTTAAATCTGCCACCGCTATTGGCTAAGAAGTATGCTATGATGTAAACTGGTACATTATGATGTCACAATGCTGTCGTGAGCCTGAGTGTGTGTGTATTTGTTAGCGGCTCCGCCCTCTCGGTCTGCCAGGCAACAGCATGTGTTGCATTTTTCAAACATGAAGCAGGAGTGGAGTTAGACTCTGGTAGGGGTTGACTTGCTCTTTAAGTATTCAGAAAGAAGCTCAGTGATTTTTAAGTGTGTTGTTAATGACTTTCAGCTACGTCCAAATGCAGTTCTAACTTCACATCTGTGAAGCTAACAGATGGAGCCAATACTTGCGTTTACTGATGTGTTACGTTTTACTCACAGCGTAGTTTATCTACCAGCTTCCCTCCACACAGAGTGGCCAGCATGGCCTTTACAGACAGGACTGTCAGACGGCTCTCCGGCTCACTAAAGCACACAAAATAATTACAACCAACACAAATGAGACAAAATTTAACTAAATGGTTTTTCTCGCAGTTACCAGTCGACGGCAGCCAATATGAACTCGACCAGGAGGACGGTGCTCTCTCTCGGGTTGATGGGGTGTGTGGTGGGCAGGCGTTTGCTGAGCTGGTTGAACAGGGAGGTCACCAGATTCTCCAGTCTGGTTACCGAGATGCCGGCGTTCAGCTCGACGGCGTTCAGCCCAGCATCCCGCACCGCCTCGATCACGTTGTAAATGTCTAGCAGGTGCACTGGAACGACAGGTGCATGAATATAAAAAAAAACTAATATTTTCCTTGGAGCTTCAAACTGAAATATTTATGGAAGATAGTTGGCACGTGACAGAGTCAGCTGTTGACTGTGACTCACGGTTGCATCTCTTTTGTACAAATCTGAGTTTGCAGGCAGTTCGATACGACGAGAGACGAATGGAGTCCAAGTCCTGCTCCTCTGTGGGGAAAAAAGAAGATCCAGTAACTCCTCATCTTCAACAATAAACGCAAAATAACCTCTCCATCTAAAACGGCCACCATGTAGAATAAAAGTCTTTCCTAAGTGTGACTAGAGAGGCCGTGATATTTGGAGTCAAGGATACTCACCCAGTTCTTCAAATATCCGCCTCCAGACGGCTCTTGGAGCCACCTGTCTGTCTCTCTGGGCCTCCTCCATCACCATTCTGCACGAAAACAGGAAAAAATGTTCCATTCAGTAGATTTTGAATTACTTATAGATATTTTGTAGATTGTTCTGAAAATCCTTTTTTCTGCAGAAGACAGAAAGTCAGATCCTGAAGCTTCTTTGTGGGTTATCATGAGAGGAGATTTGACAACATTGCCATTGCTAAAATTTGGATTAACACAGACAATACAAGAAAACTGTAACTATTATTGTCATTTTTGTTTCAGCACACCCAGAGGCTGGGGGTCAAAAGGTCAAATTCAGGGGCAAGAAGAAGACACGTTAAAAACAGATTACTGAGAGCATAAACGACAAAGGGAAGGAGGAGAAAAGGTTACCGAGTCGCCATGGAAACTGTCACACCATGCAACAACACTAAAACACACACTCACACACCAATATTTTCATTCCTTGCAGTGACGAGTCAACCCCCAGCTTGCTCACACACATTCCAGAGAGGATTTGGAAGTTTCCCAGGAGACGTCGCGTTTCATCCAGACAAAAAGATTCCTTCTTTCGGTCACTTTCTCCTCTGAAACCCACTCACACATCCTGCTGCACCCAACACCGACTCGTTGGCTAACGTTTGTCTCCAAAATACAGACTTTAGCAACAGGTGTCAGTTCTTTTCCTTAACTTTTATGCAGAAAATTTGGATAGTTTACAGCGGCGGCAAATACCACATCTGGTAAACAAACTTGAAGCATGTATGCTAGCTGCTAGTCTGAGCTAGCGTGTGCTAATGTGAGCTGTCAGGCTGAAGAATAAAGATTTTCTCCCAGGATTAACGTGGGAGTATTTTGCTTGCCATATCATTAGTTTGTAAATTCCAACTTTGGTAAGATGAATATTTAATAACCATGTTTATTTACATTGTGAATCAATTTAATGTAAAAAAAATCAAAAGTGTAATGTTTCCTTCATGGGAACATCTTGGGATTCCACAGTGGAACTGGGAAGATGGGGAGAGGGATTATTGGGCTTCACTGGGTTTGTTACCTCAACAACTTGACCTTGAATAAGAAGTGGAAAATGGACAGAGGGATGGATATTCTGAAAAGCAAACACTGCTTTGAGGAATTACTGACTAATTACCATGCACACTACTTTGAGAGAAGCAGTAAAGCGAAACCAAAATAAATGTGACTTCATGCTAATTAAAGTGAGATTGCCCCTCATAACAACCTATCACATCAAAGTTGGATGCATTAAAGCTTGTTAGTCAATTCAACATAAAGTTACATGACATATTTCTGAAATTTTTATGTTAATAAAAGACTGTCCTCTTTTTGTCACACCCTGTCCTGTCTCCCCATTCTGTTCAGTCATGTGTCTCTGTTAATTGCTCCCACCTGCCTCTCGTTTTCCAATCACCCAAGCTCCCAGCCCTCATGTATTTAAACCCTCTCAGTTCTGTGTGTTTGATCGGTTCATTGCTTCCAGTTCCTGCGTGAGTTTATCATTAAAAACCTTTTACGTTCTCCCGTTTGTCTGCCTGCCTACTTCCTCCCCAGCATTTGGATCCTCACCTCCGCTTCACTCACCAGCACGCGTGACAGAATGAACCGACCTCCAAAAGGATCCAGCGGGGAGGTTCTCCCCTGGGAGTACCTGTTCCAATCTCTCACCTCAAACCACCGGCCGGCTTCTCCTCCTCCTGCATCGCCTCGCCGCAGACGCCGCCGCCGAACCCTGGCCTCGGCGATCCTCTCCACCCTTCCAGAGCCATATGGGGGGTTGGACTGGGAGACGCAGCTAGACCGCTCCTGCTATGTGGGCACCAGACTGGCTGTGTGCTCCCCCGGAGTTGGCCCACAGCGTTGGGAAGGATGCCAGGCCCCACCGTCACCCCCTGTCCCAGGACGGAACCGCGGGCTCACCGCTACCCCGGCTCGGCACGCCAGCTTGGACCCGCCCCCAGTCAGATCAGCGGCCCTGTCTCCGGTCCAGTCAGCATCTCCTTCATCTGCAGGCAGAGGGACCACGCCTACAGCCCATCAGACGGAGCTCGCCGGCATCCAAGCGGAGCTCGACTGGCTTTGTCAACTCATCAGCCTCCAGGAGTCCCAGCTGGACACCCTATCCTCCTCATATCTCCAGGAGAAGGTTTCTGTCCAGCCAGCGGCCCTGCTTCCAGTCCAGTCAGCAGCTCTCGAAACCAGGCCAAAGGACCGAGCCCCCAGCCCATCCAACAGAGCCCGCCGGTCTCCGAGCTGAGCTGGTCCGACTCCGTCAGATCTTCAGTCTCCAGGAGCTCCAGGTGGACAATCTAACCTCCCTGCTTTTCCAGTTACCAGCTCCACCAGGTCCCGCGCCACCAGTCCAGTCAGCGCCAGGTCCCGCGCCACCCGTCCAGTCAGCGCCAGGTCCCGCGCCACCCGTCCAGTCAGCGCCAGGTCCCGCGCCACCCGTCCAGTCAGCGCCAGGTCCCGCGCCACCCGTCCAGTCAGCGCCAGGTCCCGCGCCACCCGTCCAGTCAGTCCCAGGTCCCGCGCCACCCGTCCAGTCAGCGCCAGGTCCCGCGCCACCCGTCCAGTCAGCGCCAGGTCCCGCGCCACCCGTCCAGTCAGCGCCAGGTCCCGCGCCACCCGTCCAGTCAGCGCCAGGTCCCGCGCCACCCGTCCAGTCAGCGCCAGGTCCCGCGCCACCCGTCCAGTCAGCGCCAGGTCCCGCGCCACCCGTCCAGTCAGCGCCAGGTCCCGCGCCACCCGTCCAGTCAGCGCCAGGTCCCGCGCCACCCGTCCAGTCAGCGCCAGGTCCCGCGCCACCCGTCCAGTCAGCGCCAGGTCCCGCGCCACCCGTCCAGTCAGCGCCAGAACCCGCGCCACCTTCTTCTTCTTCTTCTTGTCCGTTTAAATGGCGGGTGGCAACCAACTTAAGGTGCATTTCCCGTGCCACCTGTCCAGTCAGCGCCAAGTCCCACGCCACCTGTCCAGTCAGCGCCAGTTCCAGCGGTGGTCCAAGAGACTCCGCCCCCAGGCCAACCTGTCCAGGTGTCAGAGCCCAGTCCGGCGGCACCAGCCAAGGAAGCGGCCCCTCCTGCAGCGGCTCCACCTCCAGCCCAGAAGTCGACGTCTACTCCAGCGTCTCGACCTGCTGAGACTACCCCTGCAGCGGCTCTGCCTCCGGTCACCGCCGGTCCTGCCCTTACCAGGCGCGAGCCTCCCAGAGCCTGTCGCCGTCTCCTCCTCTGCCCCAGATGCAGGCCCCCGGACTCTACTGGTCCCTGCCTCTTCTCCACCGGTCCCTCGGTTCCTCTCGGCCCTCCTTCCTGGTCCCCCTCCTCCCGCCCTGCTCTATGTTCCTGTGGGCGTCTGGAATCTGCCCTTTTTTTTTGGGGGGGGGGGGGGGGGGGGGGGGGGGGGGGGGGTACTGTCACACCCTGTCCTGTCTCCCCATTCTGTTCAGTCATGTGTCTTTGTTAATTGCTCCCACCTACCTCTCGTTTTCCAATCACCCAAGCTCCCACCCCTCATGTATTTAAACCCTCTCAGTTCTGTGTGTTTGGTCAGTTCATTGTTTCCAGTTCCTGCGTGCGTTTATCATTAAAGACCTTTTACATTCTCCCGTTTGTCTGCCTGCCTACTTCCTCCCCAGCATTTGGATCCTCACCTCCGCTTCACTCACCAGCATGCGTGACACTTTTAGGAGTGCAGAGAAGGCAGCAGTTTGAATTGTGAAGCAATAAAGAAGCTGGATTATTCTTCTTTTGATTTGGAGAAGTGACGTATACCCCACCCCCACCCAAATATGACCTGAGGATTGGATTCAATTGGGGAGGTGGAAAGAGGGGGGAAAAAAACAAAAAACTGGAATGACTGTTCCTATGTCATTTACAACTTGTTTATTGATATATGTTCATTCCAAATATAGATTTAATAAAAAAAATTGTTTTTAAGTGAAGTTGAACTAATAAAGGTAAATCTCTCAGGCTCAAAATAAGTTTTGATAAAAGGATGAACAACTAAGTCCTTCAGGGGCACTTTTGAGTGAAAAAATGCTCATGAAATACGTATGTGGAGTAACCAGGTACGTAGGTTTTAACTGGTGCAAATCTGCAATGCCTGCCTCCAGAGGGTTAAAGATCTATTAATTAATAACCCATAGGAAGGCAGATTAACAGCTTGAGTCGATTTTATTACTTCACTTAAAGTCTTGTTGAATTGGACATGAGCCAAAAAAGAAAGCTCCCTGCTTCCATCACTCCACCAGTTACCAGACTGGATTCTCCCACGGTGAGTAAAGCGGTTATTTCCAGCCGAACCTCGTCTGTGTGTCAGTCCAAGTCTGTCTGAGTGAGTAAAGCTGACACGGGAGAACATTTGGCCTGTGAGATTTGTTTCCCGTTATAACTCTGAAAGCTTTAAATCACCATAGATACAACTACTCCTCCCTCGGCTGTGTCAGAGGGCTGGAAACGGCTTGGCTATAATTTTCTCAATTACTGAGTCAAAGCTGGTCACAGGAAGTGGATCCTACAACAAATATGGCGACCTAATCGAACTAACATGATAAAATATCACCTAAAATGTTTAATTTGAATGCAGGGTGCCTGGATGTTATAATAAAGACGTGCATTTAGATAAACAATGTTAAAAACTACCCACAAAAATGACTTGGGTTTTGTTGATTTTTAACTTCTACAGCTAAATTAATTTCTTGCAAGGTGAAAAAGTACGTCCAAGCATTCATTTGAATCACAAAAATAGGAGAAATTAGCATTTTTGTGAATGTTAGTCAGAATTAGAAGTTGCTTCTTGGTTTGACAGAGATAAACACGGTAAAGAGCAGAGCCCACAAATGTGGCTTTGCTGACTGCATCTGTTGCATTTCAGTGTGTGTGTGCGTGTGTGTGTGTGTGTGTGTGTGTGTGTGTGTGTGTGTGTGTGTGTGTGTGTGTGTGTGTGTGTGTGTGTGTGTGTGTGTGTGTGTGTGTGTGTGTGTGTGTGTGTGTGTCTGCACACTTGTGTTGCACCATGGTGTTTAATTATGGCCGACATTTACTGAGCTTGACAGAAACAAACAGGAAAGGTTCACAAGGTTCTGAACAAACACTATAAAATGAAGGACACGTTTACACTAAACTTAGTCTGAAAACGGGGTTAAATGAATGATTCACAGTTGTCTAATCTATGTTTTAATTCCCATAGGTGTATTAATGTGTGTGTGAGTGCATGCACGTGTGTGTGGTTGTACCTTTCAGTATCAAGGGGGTCACACAAAGCTGGGGCTTCCAATTAAGGATGTCTAACAGAAAGGCAGAGGACAGAAAAATGTCTTGATGAAAGTCTGAGACACACACTAACACAAGCAGCAGGGTGTCACAGTGGTGACAGAAGCACACATCACATCTGTTTACAGGCTGAGATCTTTAGGGAATCATCACATATTGGCTATTTTTGCTGAATGGATAAACAAATCCTCAGATTTTATCCCAGAAATGTTCGGATTACTCGCTTAAATGTTGTTGTTTGCAGAAACAATCCAAAGAGAATGTTTTATGTTACACTTGCTTTGAATTTTTAGGTAATTTAAAAGTTTTTAATATATCGACATCAATATCGGTATCGGTCCAATATGTAAAACCGGGCAGATATTAACAACAGATATTTTTTCCATCTTGTCCATTTGTTTGCCTGTTTCAGAGGGTGAGGGGGTGATGTGTAATTGTTTAGTATGTGAACAGTGAATGAAATCATCTCAGAACCATCAATGTGTGTGCTGTGTGTACATAATAACGTAAATTCTGCTTTAATAATTTTCATTCTATACAAAATCTGCTGTTTTTAGAAGCATTAATGTCAGTATATCGATATGGGCAAATATCGGTTATCGGCCATAACGGTGATATCGGATATCGGTATCGGCCCAAAAATGTCATATCAGTGCATCACTAGTTTTTAACTTTAATTATTAATGCATTTCACTTGTCATAAGAGCTCAGCATGTTTGTTTGGAGAGTAGAAATTAAATGGGACTATCTATTCTGTGCACAACGATGTTCTATTGTTGTTAAAATTAACACGGTCAGGGACAGTGAGCTAGTGCAACATGCCAAGATAATTATACTAAAAAATTTTTTAATGAAAACCCACAAACAGCAGTCACTACGTTCCTCTCACTCAGCTTAAATAGACAACAAGCAGCATCTCCATGTTTGAGTTACCTGCTTAAGACAAATACTGTTGCTGTTAGCATCCTAACCTCAACAACCACAGATGATAACATTGTTTGCACTAAACTAACATCCCTCTGTAATTTAACTGCATTTACTTTGTCACTGGCAGTTTAGAACAAGGAGTTTCTAATATACACAAGATTAGTTTAGCATCACCTCAATACTGACGAGACAAAGAGGCTTCTGCTGTTAAACATGTCTTCAGTGGGTTTTCAAAGTAATATTGCTTACACCTGAAAAATGTCCATTTTACTTTGAAAATTCCTTGGGAAGCATAAAAACCTGCTAAGACCAGAGCAGACCACCCAACCAGGACACCTGTTCTTTAACAGCCACCACACACACTCTCCTCTGTGTTTGAATAAAGAGAATATCAGCGCAGACCTGAGCAAGACAAATGGACCTGAAAGCCAACTCTCTCTCTCTCTCTCGCTCTCTTTTACAAACGTGTATTCAAACATGCAAACGTCAGTCTGAAATAAACCCACTGCAGGTCTGGAAGTGAGAGCAAAACTCTGTTTAGACTCACCGTTTAGTTCTCAGGGTGAATCCAACAACTAAAATGTCTTCTGTCCAACACCAAAAGCAGAGATGGGCGTCTATGAGACGAGGGGGTACAGAAGAGGAGATAAGAGGGTGTTTACTACACAACGTTCAAGCCACATGACCGCAGCTGTCCACCATGCTCATCGCCCGCACTGACAGGGTCTGAGCAGTGTGTCTGTGTGTGTTACATTACTGTGTGCTGAAACCTTAGACAGCGACATTGCTGAAGAGCCACTGCGTGCTATTTATCCTCCAAATGACCCTTTGCTGTAACACATGCTTATTGAGGCTTTTTGGCCGGACACATAAATCCCTCTGAGAGCTCTGCAGCTTTTTACTAAATTAACTTTTAAAATGTTGAGATTCCAGGAAACTGACCAACGTGCAATTTGTGGGGCTGACCGTCATCTAAGCCTCCAGAGTCTTGAGATATTTTCGAGGTAATAAGAGACAGAAAAAACTGCCGCTTGGTGGGACGGGTTTCTGCTTTTTGTTTCCTTAATGAGCATCTGATGCAGCCATGTTTGCTTCTATATTTAGCTAATAAATACATTTATAAGTACGTATGTACAGCTAGAACAAGCTCATATTCCTGTGGGTGTAATAAGAACCCTTCATGTTTCATAATATGTAACATAGACAAAAGAGTCAATAAATAAAAGATAATAGAGACAGTACCATTTGCAGTATTCTACTGAGTTTTTACATAAAATTCTTTGGTTATTTACAGCAGAAGATCTGGTCAGAATTTGATATTTATTCCAGAAAATTTTTGGAAATAAATGTAAATGAGCTTTCACATGAATGCTATGACATTTATGAGATTAGCTAACAAAAATACACCTGGGCACCAATCCCACTAGGACTAACTTTTCATCAGAAGTAATCTCTGTTTCTCCAAACTGAGGTAGATCAAAGAGCCATCTATGACAGGTAGGGTGCTGATTGCTTATAACGTATCCACAGGACCCCATTTCAAAAGATCTGAATTATGACTGTCACGATCTGCCCTTTCCCTCTTGACTGTGTCTCTCTCCTGCCCCGATTAGTCCAGATTGTTTTCACCTGTCCCTCGTTAACCTGCCCGTGTTCCCAATCAGCCTCGTGTATTTATACCACATGTTTTGCTCCTGTCCTTCGTCAGATCATTGTTGTTTGTTGTCACCGTTGTGTTTGTTCCTGCCGTTCCCGTTCTGTAATTAAATTTGTTTTTACGTTCTCCGTGCCTGCTCTTCTGCCTCCGGAACCCACCACCACACATGGTCCACCATCTCCAACCACACATCGTGACAGAATGATCTGACCAACCTGGACCTGTGGTGAGCTACCATCTGTTTTTTGGAGGATTATTTTTTCTTTTTCTCTTTTTCAGCGGAGGGAGATTCCGGCCTGGAGTTGTGTATCTCGGCGCATCCTACCTGTTCTCGGGGTGGTCGAGCCCTCTGGGTGATTCTGGCGCATCCTAGCTGTTTCGGGGTGGTCGGAATCATTTCTCCTCTCCTGCTGTTTCGCCCCGTCCTGTTTTTTCCCACGGAAGCTGCGGATCCTGGAGTTTTGGTGAGACAAACACCCCTGCGCACGCCAGCGTTCTTCGGAGTGGTAGGGCTGGTCTTCCTGCTCTTTTCCTGCTTCCCTTCACCCGAGCCTCCGCCGATGACCCAGCAAATCGGGAAGTGCACCTGCTCCGACCAGATGTCGAGTACCTGCCGCCGAGCTGGGCTTCCTCACGTCGCTCCTGCAGTCCCACCCACTTCCTGGTCCACGCCTGCGGGGCCTACGCCTGCAGGTCCTTCTGGCTGCAGCCTTTTCTGCATCCTGCTACTGCAGCCCAAACCAGAGCTCATGAACTCACAAGGACCAGAGTTGTGCCGCCTAATTCAGAGGCCCCTGCTCTGCCATCCAGGACTGAACTCAAAGAGCCCGCAGAAGCCAGAGTTGTGCCGCCTATATCAGAGGCCCCTGCTCTGCCGACCCAGTGCTCGAGTTTCCAGTATCCGAGTGTCCGAGTTCCTGAGTCTACGTGTCCCGAGTCAAGTGTTCCTGTGCCCCGTGTTCCAGTCAGCCCCGAGTCAAGTGTTCCTGTGCCCCGTGTTCCAGTCAGTCCCAAGTCAAGTGTTCCTGTGTCCCGATTCCACGTGTCCCAGTTCCCCGAGTCCTCCGAGTCCAAGTGTCCCGAGTCCGAGTGTATTCGAGTCCCCAGTCAAGTCTTCGAGTCCCCAGTCAAGTCTTCGAGTCCCCAGTCAAGTCTTCGGGTCCCGAGTGTTGTGTGGCCTTGTGGGCGTCTGGTATCCGCCCCTTGAGGGGGGGGGGGGGGGGGGGGTACTGTCACGATCTGCCCTTTCCCTCTTGACTGTGTCTCTCTCCTGCCCCGATTAGTCCAGATTGTTTTCACCTGTCCCTCGTTAACCTGCCCGTGTTCCCAATCAGCCTCGTGTATTTATACCACATGTTTTGCTCCTGTTCCTTCGTCAGATCATTGTTGTTTGTTGTCACCGTTGTGTTTGTTCCTGCCGTTCCCGTTCTGTAATTAAATTCGTTTTTACGTTCTCCGTGCCTGCTCTTCTGCCTCCGGAACCCACCACCACACATGGTCCACCATCTCCAACCACACATCGCGACAATGACTTTACTTTCCGAGCTTCAGATGCAATAAAACATCCTCAGCTCATTTTAATAGATTTGTGTTGAGCATTTATATTTAAAACACACAAAGAAATAAAAAATCTGCTAAATCTGATATAATTTTGGACAAAACGGTGAGTTAATTTCAATCAATGTGCCCAAACACAAAGAAAAAATAACTGTTGCTATTAGCCATTATAATTATATAAATAAAATAACAATATATTTCAGTCTCCTGCTCTTTGACCTGTGACGCCAGACCCACATTAACCTTAACACTGTGTCCCGTCACCCCCAGGTAAAAACAGAAGCAACGCAGCTCCTGTTACAAATTTAGGCTGGACAGCCTGAGCGTGAAGGGAAAACAAACTGTTGTTGCAGAGGCGCAAACACATTATGAAGATTGTTACAGGTTTAAAACATTGATCAAATTATAACAATTCTTTGTGTTTTGTTTTAGGCAACATTGATCAAAAACATTCACGGAGGTCCTGCTCAACAAAGATCCTGAAAGAGGATGCACAGCCCCACCAGAAGCTTAGAAACACACACAAATCTGGAAACTACAGCACACACACCCAGATTAACCTCGATGAGTTTCTGCTGCAAGAATAATCTGGACCTTAATGTGATATTTAAACCACTTTGAAGCAATGGGGTGCTTTTAAACTCTTTCATGGATCACATTTCATTGTCTCACTTGTACTTGAAGCAACACGCCCACACCATCACAGGCCTTTGTATCATTTAGCACAAAGAAAGCTCTTTCCAGTCAGGCAATCCAATGATAAACTATAGCAGTACATAATTACAGCATGTGTTTCCTTTTATCAGACTCATCTTTTCTAAATTTACATTTACAATGATCCAAATTAAAACCTAGAGCTGAAAGCCTGCAGCGCTTGGGGAAAAAAAAGATACGGCAGCGTTTAGATGTGAAAACAAGTAAAAAGAAAGAAGTTGAATTAAAGAAGGCAGAAGGAAGCAAAGAGTCAGAAAATGAGATGGTTAAAAAAAAACAGGATGTGCATGTAAGACAAAAGCACACAACACATGAAATAGGAAGTGAAAGTTAACGCCTTGTGGTGTGCTAGAGAAGGAAAGTGTGCATCACTGTGAAGATGCTCATTTGGTAGAAAGTATTCAACCCAAAATCAGTGTCTCAGCTTCTGCCTAGAGACCCACTCAAATCTGTACTGGATCCCAGTAAAGACGATACATGAACAGACTTGACTTGCAAACAGTGTTAGCGACCTCAGAGGAACTTGTGCACAATTTCAAAACAAGCTCCTGTGCAAATATACTCGCAAGCAGTCTAGAAAATGTCCATTCTTTCTCAGAAATAAACTGGTCCGATCATTTTCCTTTCATCGTTGCTGCATGTAAACAGTGATGCACTGAACAGCTTCGAGCTCCCTGTGATAATTACAATTACTCCTACATGCAAAATGGAGAACGCTTTAATTTCTCTACGGTTTAATCCCCAGGAAATGATATAAACCAGCGTAATCACAGGTTTCATCCTCACTGCGATTATCTTCCCACCCACTGTGAAGACAGCGACAAGGCTAAGCACAAGCTCAAGTCTTTCCTCGTGCACTGAATGAAAGGTTAGGGTTAGAACGCTCTGCAGGTTTACCTGGTTATTATGTGCAGAGGTGGTGGATGCTAGAAAAACTAGGATGACTAATTATTGTTTCCATTTTTATTTAGTCCTTTTTTTAGGTATAAACAAATCCCCTATTGCTGTGATGAAGTGCATAATGTGTAGGTGTGATGCAATTATAAAATGTTCAGCAATGTAGCTAAAAGCTTAAGAAAAAATGAACAAATTTTGTTTCAAGCAAGAATAAAGTGCCATTAAATTGATAATGTAACCTACTTATAACAATAACACACTATAAGTTCATTGTCATTCTAGAGTCATTTTGTCAAATGAAAATCTGAAATTTCTGTAAATATTTACATAATTTCCTGAAAACTGCTAGCTATTTAGATTATTCCAACAGGTTTTATTACAAAATAAATTACATTTGTAATATTTGAGATCTTTTAGTTTTATTGTCGTTATAAGTTGTTAGTATCTGCAGTCCTATGACATAAAGTTTTCCAAATGAACCACGGGAAGACAAAAAAATGTAGAATTGACAGACTTATAAAGTGTTTTAGCACCATCTGGACGAGGTTTGGACAATGAGGATAACGTAAACAGTACAGCATTTATGTAAATTATTTGATCAAACCTCCGAAATAGGGTGCCGAATTTCATGAAAAACACATGTGATTTTAATGAAGTACCAAATGATCCACCTAAACCATGAAGGCTTTAGGAAAACCCGGTAGTACAATAATTGACAGCTTTTTGAATGGAACAATGTTCCTCCCACAGATGAGGACACGAAAGCCAATAACCGTTTTGTTTTAAAAAGTGGGCATGACTTACTTCTCTGTTCTACTACAGGGAAATACACCCCTTCGACTAAAAAAACAAAACACACTACACTGTAAATCTGAAGGTTTTCAGTCAATCACATGGACTCAAACGCTTGTGTCGACCTCCTTTATAAATTTCTGCCAACTTCGGGTTAGCTTTGTGACATCTGAGCGGCCATATTGTTAAAAAAAGGGAAAAAGTTTAACTCTCTGTTCACCTTGTTCACGAATGAATCTGGTACTGAAACATCTCACAGCCCAAATTCCGTCTAATTCAGCGGTAAAATTCCACTGAAGGCTACTACGTCCTTATTTACGGACGTTGTTTGGATTTAACCAAGCTACGTGAGACGGTATGAACTCACCGGGACTATTTTCGGCAGGTATTCGCGTCCAAAGACATCAACACAGGAACGTGGGGCATTGGCTTGAGTTAGAATCGATGTTCTTCACCTCCTTTTTTGTTTTTTAGTCCTCCCCGTCGTGTTTTGTGACCTCCGCCCGAGTTTTGGTCGTGCACCAGTCCCGTTATTTATTTCCGTAAAGGAGGCATGTCTCTCTCGCGCTCCTCGCGCGCCCGTGGCTGAGCCTGCACCGGTCGGTCGCTGCTGCCGAGATGAAATGAACTACTCGTTCTGCTGCCTCCACCCCTCTAACAAGAGCTGCTGCTGACATGAAACGAGCTCACAAAAACACCAAATTCGTTTTTAATTTAAAACACGAGGATAAAACAAAGGCACATGGCAAAGAAAACCCTAGTTTACCCAAACTACAACGTGTAAAATCCACTAATTATCAGCTACCATCATGGCCGAACAATCAACATCGGAGGCAGGGGGCAATAACCTTTAATGGTGCCCCAATTATATATTCAGCACCATCTGGCTCTGTTAATTGATTTTAACAATCACTTATTTGACTAAATGTATTTTACAACTGGAAGCAACGCAGATTGTGATTAAAACATTATATTAGGCTGCATGGTGGCGCAGTTGTTAGCACTGTTGCCTCGCAGCACGAAGGTTGCAGGTTCGAAATTCGGCTGCGGCCTTTCTGCGTGGAGTTGCGTGTTCTCCCCATGCATGCGTGGGTTTCCTCCTGGTACTCCGGTTTCCCCTACAGATCACCACATGCCTTATAGGTTATAAATTGTAAGTCACTTTGGATAAAAGTGTCTGCCAAATAAATAAACATAAACATTAGGCAAAATTTTGAGGGTGTAATATGTGGTAATACACTCTACAACCTGGCCAGGGGGCACCAACCAATCAGGCTTAAAAAAACTTAATAATTTAAACCAGATATTTAAACTGAGAAAACACGTTCAAATGTTTGACCATGAAAATACAAATTTTTTATAAATGATTGTAGGAGCCATATGTGTCATTTCTTTTTGTGCACTTGAGAGGAGGCCTGGCCTCATTATTGGTTAATTGCTTGTGGAAGCACCAGCCTACTTAAGCCAACACAGATTGGACTCAGGTGTGGCTGGATGGGACAAACAGTTTTTTACTGTGTGGCGAGGATTGTGGCTGTATGTAAAGGACTCTGCGGACTGTCATTGGGGCAAGTAACGCATTCACTGCAAACCAATTTTACTGCTGTAAATGGATCCTGGACATTCTGGAACAAGACAACATAATAAACAACATCGGAAATAAACTCAAGCTGCATTTCTTTAAGCACACGTAAAGACCACCCGCAACAGCTACCAGGTAGTGCCAGTGTATAGGGCACTGGCGCTACACTTCAAGGTAAAAAACTGTCCCGTCGGCGAAGGAAGGTTGGCGTCCTCTGCAATCAAGGCAGCAGAGACGTAATTGGATTAGCTGTTTCCTGATCACGGGAGGAACCGCGCACTTCAACGGCGCGTCTGGAAGAAGCGCGGAGGGTCGAGCTGTCATTGGGACAGAAGGCGTTTCTGCGTGGGATCTGGCTGTCCTTCCCTCATCGTAGAACGAGCAGCACATCAGCTGACAGCGACGGGCGCACTTGTATAGCACATTTTAAAGTCAGAAGACTCCAAAGTGCTTTACACTACAGTGTATGATTCATTCACATGCTGATGGTGATGAGCCACAGCTGCCTCGGGGCACACTGACAGAGGTGAGGCTTCCAAGCACAGGTGCCATCAGTCCCTCTGACCACCACCAGCAGGCAGGGAGGGGTAAGTGTCATGCCCAAGGACACTACTGTCATGAGCCGGGGTGAGTACTCTTCCCATCTTCATCATCTCTGAGTGTTCTGCTTGCAGGAGAGGGAGCGGCAGCTGCATCTCGTCAGCTAATCAGCGAGTTGGATACTTAAGGAGGATGGTGAATACTACTCGACGCCGGATGATTGCTACTGACTAGTAGTTTCTAGCCACTTGTACTCATCTCTAGGTCTCCCAGTGTATTGTGTGACTTTTTGGAACTCTCGTAACTCTTGGATGTTTTTGAACAACCTACCTCAGGTCTTGCTTCGCATCAGGAAACCCCACGCTGAATCCATAGGACTCCACACCTCTTCTTCATTCAGCCATCCACCCGTCTGGACCGGCTCGCTCTCCATCAACCCTCCGCTCCCTCTCCAGCTCCGAACCTCCCTCTTGGACAAACCCCCGGCTCACTACCTCCCCTTATTCACCTAGTCTCCTCGACCTCCGTGAGTCCCCACTCATTATTCCCCTTTCGGACTACATGTCCCAGGACTCACCTCTGTTGTTCTCCCTTCTAGACGCTGCCTTCCCGTTCCTTCACCCGCTGGACTTCCAGTGCGCCCTTAGTTAACGTTCTCCTTTAATAAAAGATTATTTTTCCTTCAACCGTTGTCCTGTACTGATTCTGCATATCTTGGGTTAGTCTCTTGCCCCAAACCATGACAACTACAGCAAAATTCTCTGTTGGGAGCTGGGATCGAACCTGCAACCTTCCAATTATTGGACAACTCACTCCACCTCCTGCCCCATAAATGTAATTATCCTACAACTATCTACTGCAAATCTCCAGGCCTCCCTTGAAAAAGAGGTTTTTAATCTCAATGCAATGGGATTTCCTTCCTGGCTAAATAAACATAAAATAAATAAATAACGTTTAATTATTTAAATGCCAGATGAAATTCCACAAGTGACTGTTTTTTACTGAGCACTAATAACAAATATTTAAAAAAAAAGAAGCTTTTTCCTACAAGTCTACAAGTGTCAAAAAAGAGGTCTCACATCTTACAGTTAATCAAATCACCAGCAATAACCAAGGTCCTTCCTAAAACAATTATATATAATTAGAAATATCACAAAGATGAATTACAACATTTTGGGATCAATTTCCCTCTGGGATTAAAGTATTTTTCAATTGAATTGAATTTGAAGCTTTTGCCTGAGGAGTTAACAGCTTTCTCCAGCTTTAGGGTCCCAGGCACCAAAGTCAGACACATCTGTCCCTTTTCCTCCTGTAATTGTCCAATAGTTGTGAAATTCACCAGCTCTGTGATTTAACTAGACAAAAACTCACAAACACCTCTTTATTGTAGTGTTCAGTTAGGCTAAAATGATCTGAACCTAATGAAATGTATATTTGAGCATTAAAAGGATTTTTGTAGTCAATTTAAATTGTAACATATTTATTTATGTACATGTTATTTACTAATTGTTGAAATCCCACAGAAACATAAAACAGTCTAGCTCTACCAGATTTTCATAGTGTACCACAGAGCAGGAAATAGGCTAACATAAATAGGAACAAACTACTGTAGGAAACTCTGAAAACACTTCTCATAAACGATTGACTCTAGTTTGCTCTTCAAGTCAAAAACGCACCAAATATCAACGATGAGCAAAAATAAACAGCTTTTGTTTTCATTAGAATTTTGTTTTGTTTTGTAGAATTAGCATTTACTTTTTACTGTTCCAGAGTATGAAAGCTATGCAAGACATTTCATTTTAAAAGCTTTGGTCCTATTTAATGTTGCACACAGTATATTAAAAAATATGTCTTGCATAACTTAAACCCAACAATGGGAGTTTTTTTTATTGCAAAAACAAATTATGCAATACCGCTAGTTGCCTTAAACATGCAATGGTTCTCTCCAGTCTTTTGCAAATCTGGACTTTGAGTAGGGGGGGAATTTCTGCTCAGGGTGAACCCTGAGCAGATAAAAACTCGGCTTGCAGAACGTCTGTGCAGGACGATCAAACATTGGAGCCCAAACTAATTCTGACTGACTGAAGGACATTACAGTGGATGTTTTGAGTGTGCGTGTTTTTAAGCAGAATGAAGATGTGGACAATCAGCCTTCAGACTGTAACGGTCTGTGTTTTCCTGCTGGTATGTTAATAACACAATTTTGGTTTTTAATCTTATTTTACTCATTTTTTCTTTGTTATGTCATCAGTTAGTGTTTTTATATTTTCAAATATTTATGTCATTATGAGATGCCAAAAACTGCAACACAGCACTGTAACCCCGAATAAGTTCACTGAACTCAAAATGAATGAGGAAACCGATTACCTAATAATGTTTAAGTTAACTTATCTAAAAAATACAAGTTTAACATAACTTTAAAAATATGACCTGAATAAAATTTAAGCATTTAACTACCTCCAACCTATAACTTAGCACTTAAGCAACTTCCAAGTTTAATTTCACTGAACTTGCATATTTAATTTTATTTGAACTTTATTACATGTTTTTACTAACTTAAATATTATAACTTATATTAACTCTAAATGGACCTATTAAACCTTAACCCAAATAAGTTGAATTTACTTAAAAATGACAATGTGGTAGGCTGGTGAAGGCAGTATACCAGATCATGACTCACACACCCATAGATGCTAACAGTCAATGAAAGTTGAACACTCAAAGTCAAGTCAAGAGCATCTGGTATGAAAAACCACAGGATTAATAACAATGGGACGGCAAAGCGGCACAGCATTACTTTGACCAACCTCCTCACTTATGGGGCCAACATGATACAAAAAGTAACACCACATTTGCAACACTGAATGAAATAATAACTGAGAACAACAATCCTCCACAATAAACATGCATAAACACTACAAAATAGAGCAAAATAACTGAAATGACTACCCACAATGCAATGTGCCCACTAGTTTTTTATTGTTCCTGAAATCCACCTAAATTGCTAGTTCATGGTTGTTTTTCCTGGTAACTAAAATATTTTGAGTTGATTGGATGAGCAATTTTTATTTAATAAACTTCAAATGTATGAGTAACATTTATTAAGAAATTTTACTTATGAAAACTTAAAATTTTCAGTATCAAAACTCAAAAAAAATTGAGGCAATTGACACTCAAAATTTTTGAGTTCTGGGAACTTATTCGGGTTTACAGTGATAAATCCACAAATATTAAAAAAAAATACAAGTCTGTTTATCAGACACACTTTAGGGTTGATGTAAAGATGAATGGAATGTTATAGAAACAGAAAATAATAAATCAGTATTTTATTAGTTTACTCATTAAAGTTAAGTTGTTCTTTATTGATTAATTTAAGTTATGATTACTTAAAAAAATAAATGGTTCAGATTAATTAAAACATTTGAGTTCTTGTACTTAAAACAAGGAAAAGGTTGAAATAACTCAACACATTTGAGTTCTAAAAACATTTGTTTTTATTTTATGAGTTTCATCTACTCAATATATTTGATTATTTGAACTTTTGGGTTTACAGTAAGTAAAAAGAAATTTGATTTTAGTTTTCAATAATTCCTCTTTTTTAGTAATGTCAGTTTTCAATTGGGTATGTTCATTTCTTCTTTTTTTACTAAAATTGTAAGTTTTTCTTTTTTATATTTCCCACTTAGCACAGTAGTCTTGAGTATAAATGAACGAAGTCTTTCTCATACAAATCTCTTCTTTACATCTCCACATGCAGATGGCAGGTCGAGTCCATGGTCGAGTCCGAGGCCGAGCGTGCGTGATTCAAGGCCAGGTCGCTCACTGTGACATGATGACCCTCAAAGCGATTCCTCCTCTTCCCCCTGACATCACCCACTTGTATTTGGGGGTGAACCGTTTCCGTGAGATCAATGCCACCACGCTGTCTGGCCTGGAGCAGCTCCAGGAGCTGGACCTCGGACACCAGCTGGTGCCTCTTGTGATCAGGAACAACGCTTTCAGCAAACAGAAACATCTGAGGAAGCTGGATCTTGGCTTCAACTCCCATCTTCAGCTAGAACCACTGGCCTTTGCTGGACTCTCCAGTTTGCAGAATCTTCAGCTGTATCACTCTTCTCTCAACGACTCCATTCTGGCAGACAAATATCTGGATCCGCTTTCATCTTTGCAGACCCTGAACCTCTATGGTAACAAGATAAAACGACTCCAGCCATCAACGTTTTTTGCAAACATGACTAATCTGACTCACTTGAACCTCCAGCTGAACCAAATTGACCAAATTTGTGAGCCTGATCTGGTCGGTTTTAAGGGGAAACACTTTACAGACTTCAACCTGCAATCTGTTAATCTCAGAGACATGCTACGTAGCGAATTTGACTGGCAGAAGTGTGGAAATCCTTTCCGAGGAATATCGTTTGAGACCCTTGATTTGTCCCTCAATGGGCTCGGCTTGCATCAGTTGAAGATGTTTTTCAAAGCCATCGAAGGAACAAAGATATCTCATCTAAAACTCTCGGGGCACGTGGGGAAAGGGTTTTCATTCAGTAATCTCCCTGATCCGGACAGCACCACATTTGAAGGCTTGAGGAACAGCTCGGTCCTCTCTTTGGATTTATCTCGGAACAACATATTTGCGTTGCATCCTGGGGTTTTTAGTCCGCTGACAGAAATCACAGCTATTAATCTTTCTCACAACCCAGTTAATCACATACACAAGAAAGCCTTTCAAGGCCTAGAGGGTAGTTTAAAAATGCTCAACCTGTCCCACAACCTCCTCGGGGAAATCCATGCCTACACCTTTGATTCTCTGACAAACCTGCAGGTTTTGGATTTGAGTCACAACCACATCGGCATTTTGGCTTTTGGTGCATTCCACGGACTCCCCAACCTGAAATCCTTACATCTGACAGACAACTCTCTGCAACATTTGCATCGTCCTGCAACTCTGCCGAGTTTGGATCGCCTCATGTTGAATGGCAACAAGCTGGAGGGCTACTCTGTGAATATTGTTGGTCAGTTTGCTCCCAACGTGGCCTTCCTGAGCCTCCAGAACAACAGATTAACTAATCTTGGGATTGTGGACACGCTTATAAAGGATCTGAAAAACCTCCAGTTTCTTTCCTATGGAGGTAACTCAGCTACGTGTAGTTGGCTCAGCAGTGGTGTTGCTCCAAATACCGTCAAAGATCTGGATCTTCACAGCATCTTTCTGCAGTCGGTTTGGGGTCAGAAGAAATGTCTAAATCTGTTTGACAGATTTGGGAACGTGACCAGTCTTAACTTGAGCTCCAATGGGCTCCAGTCTCTCCCCCAAGGTGTCTTTAAGGGCCTTGTCTCGGTGGAGAGGATGGACCTCTCATCCAACGCCTTGACGTACATTGAGTCTGATGTTTTACCTGTCAGTCTGAAACTCCTCAACCTGTCCAACAACTTCATAGCCTCCCCAAATCCCGCTGCGTTCAGCTCTCTCAGCTTCTTGGACCTCTCCCTGAACAGATTCCGCTGTGACGCTGATCTGATTAGCTTCCTGACTTGGATGGAGAACACCAACGTGACGTTCTTGAGTCCTGTGTCTAAGTTCAGGTGTGAGTTTCCTCGTGGATTGCATAATGAGGTGCTGGTAAATTACTCAGTGCAGGTGAAAAAGCAGTTGAAATTAAATAAAAGTGGGAGAAATTATATTAATTCTCAAATTACTGGAGATCCTTCCTGCCAACAGCCATTGTAATATACAATAACTCTTTGACGACTTGATTATTATTATTATTCTGAGCTACTATAGCAATCAATTTCCTTCTGGGATTAATAAAGTATTTTTGAATTGAATTGAATTAAATCTGAGAAAATGAGGTGTGGAAGAAAACTTTAATTTTTATTCTCAGAACTTTTATTAAATCACTAAATATAAATTAATAATGCATTTTATGATATAAAATGTGTTTTCATTTATCTTAAAGTCTTTCTTTTACAAATAGATTGACATAAAACTATTATTATTATTTAATGTTTTATATTGTTTCTTGTGAGCAATAAAAAATTATTAAACAAGTTTGTGCCTGAAAGAGTCTAAGTTTTTTTTCTGACGAATATCAAAAAGATTATTTTAAAACGAAACAAAATTGCCACTTCAAATTTTAAAAATTGTTCCAGGAACTAAACTTCGATGCATTTTCATTTTATTATTTTCCTAGTTTTAAAACAAGTCTTATGTAAGTTTCTCCTACCACCAGCAGGCGGAGCTCCATGACACATGACACAGAAATTTTAAAGAATGCAGAGAAAAATCTGAAGAAAGATATATAAAAATAACAGTTAAAAGAGAAAGAATGAATGAAAAAGTCTAAACTAATAACATTCCAGGTGTGAAACATAAATATATGATAAATAACAAATAAAAAATAATGATTCATGACAGCAGGAAGTTGTTGTTGTGTCTTTACTGGTTTATTTTTTTAAACCAGTCTTGAGCTTAGATATGGGCCACCGTGCTTCTTACTCGTATTCACATGACCAACCCCCTCTGTCAACCCCATCCACGCTCCAGCTCCCTCTATTGGTTGGTTACCATGGAAACAGGCTCCGAATCCACCTCCTCCATCCATTCCCCACTTCCTGATCGACTTTGAATCCTCACATCTGTCCTCCTCCCTACCCCCACAGCTACACACACACACACACACACACACACACACACAATCTTTTTTTTTTTTTTTTTTGCATTTTCTATTGACAGGCACCTTATCTTTAGAACTCCAATTTAATGACGCAAGTTCACAATCTCTAAAGGGTCCAGTAACCTATTTTAGCTTCAGATGCAGTTTGTTGACATGTAGAGCATCTGAGATGAGTTCATTCTAACAAATTGGGTCGATATGGGCTCATGCCGATGACTGAAATCCAAAAAGAGTAAGAATTAAACTGAAATGCAATCAAATGCATAATTTATTGGTAATTGCATCACACAAAGTGTCTTTTCGGTAACTCTTTTTATCATTGATGGGTCATTTTTGTGCATTTTGCCACAACAAACGTCACACAGTTGATTATTCCATAAAATATGAAAATTTGAACTCCTAAACAGACCAAACCAAAGCTCTATTTCATCAGAACAATTCAGGACCAACAACATTTTCCAGAAGTGAAATAAACTTTCTTATGCACATTTCAAAATAAATGATCAGCGAATTGGTTTAAAGCACATATCACGAGTGAAACTGTGAGCTGCTCAGTTACAGCAGTTAAACACCTAGTGGGGGGTTGAGCAGCAACCAGATCTATTCATTAATAATACAGAGACGATTAGTCAGCCTTAACAACCCCCCATCTCACCGTTTGCCCTCTTTAACCTCCCGTCAGCGCTGAACCCAGTGACATCACACATCAGGTAGCAGCTCACCTTCATTTGTAGCGGCCATCTTTAACTTCAGGCTTCGACTATGCAACCAAAAGCTTCAGCAATAACTCAAAATGTGTGTTTAGTCTGGCCTGATGGACCTGGGTCAGTGCACTCCTAACATGATACTATCTATAAACATGTTATTAGGCTAAATATGTGAAGAAAAACTGTATTAAAAATATTTTTAAGCATTATTCTGTTTTTTTTAAATAAAGTCACAAATAAACTTATTGAATAACAATTTAAATTGGTCTCTCAATGCACAGGAATAGTAGTTTAGGATTTTTTTTAGTGTTTGAGATCATCAATTTATTATAATTCTAGAGAATATTTTAATAATTCTTTAATCTCCTTTAGTAGTTTATTGAAACTAAATCTGTTTCAGATCTGGTGTCATTACCATTTTACTCAGATCTTAACTAAGATCTAAAATTATGCTATAAAAACACATTAACCTATTTTTTACAAGATTTTAGGGTTAAACATTGAAAGATGTGAAATATCATTTTATCTTTGCAATAATTGATTTTTGGGAAGTTTGCATAAGAAAATGTAATATTTAATGCAAGTGTCAGTACAGGTCCCTCAACATAAATTATGTAGGTCAATGAAGGAGAATTTTGTTATTCTGCACGAACATGATGGTTTACAGCAGCTACTGTGAAGACGAAGCTCTGGCCACAGACGACAGATGAAAACTTGAGAAGGCTGAGTGAATCCATGAATTTCTAATGTGAAAAAGTGTTTGTGGAAAATTTAAAGTAACAGTGAGCAGTTTCCTGCCCCTCTGCCCTACTGGTTAAAAGTGGAATTACAACTGTCGTAAACAACCCGGCTGCAGCTAAATAACGAGTGCTGGATAACATGAGCCAACTAATACTAAAATAAACCACAAAGTAAAATTTTCCACACTGTTGCAAAAAAATATTACTACTACCAAGTCCAATAGCAAAAAGCCAGGTCAAAATCAGTCCATGATTTTGTAGCCTCCTTTAGCGCCCTCAGACTAGCGCAGGCCACGTTGATGTTCACTCTAGTTTCACCATAGTGCTCCCCATAGAACACTGCTCCACAAAACTAGTGGAGTGTGGTTTTTGGTCAGCAAAGGCCTGCAGAGTGGTGTCAAATATTAAACTAGTCAAGTCTGTAACTCAACAGTCACTGAGATGAAAGTTAAAGCTCTAGCTTAAAATTTAAAAAAGCTTTCTAGTGTTACTTCAATAAAGTTTAGTGTTCCTCATATGAAGGATGAGTTTTAAAAATGTAACAGTAATAAAACATTCTTCATTTTTCACTCTTAACTACAACTGTAACTAAAAATGTGCCATTTTCATTAAACTTGAATCCAAATGTTTAACTAGAATTTAAAAAGGAATGAAATTTCTGAAAACTTCAGTTTATCAACTCAAAATTTTGAAGGGTTCACAGCATCTTTAGGGGCTCCACCAGGGGGCAGTAGACACATAAAGAACTGTATATGGTAGTTTTCTGATGAAGGTACTAATCCTGACACTCCACCTGGACATTAACTAAAGTGATAAAGAATTAGTTTTGGAGAACCAAATAATTATTTAGTTTAATTAATTTATTTAAAGACATTTCCGTTAAATGAGACACTTTAAAAGGACAGAGGAATGAACAGAGGTGACAAAGGTCATCATTCAGGTACTAAAGTCATGTGACCACAACAGCAAACAACAACCTTTTCTTTTTTTTTAACTGGGTGATTTTTGTCAAAAGCCAACACATACAGCAACTGTCTAGTTGTTCTTTAAAGTTCTACTTTGAGACATAAAACAGACCAAACCGTCTCAGAAATACTCTACACCGATATTTAACAGTCTTTTAAAGGATGATCCAAATCTGTTTGGATTCAAACATGCAGGAGAGGAAAGGAAGGTGGTCACTCAAAAAACAAAAACAAAACAGTTTCTGAGGTTCATCGGGTCATCTAGCTTCCTGTTAGAAGATCATTTCCACGTCGCGCATCTCCTCACGAGTCAGCAGACTTTGTGCAGAATTCAGGCTCACAAAGCGCGAGACTTGCGGACGCCTTTGTCCTTGGTTGGAGAATCATCCAGAGATCGACTTTGGTTCATTTCTGAGTCTGAGGACCGATCCACCGAGGAGGTGCTTGGAAGAGTCCCGTCCAGCTCCAGAAACATGATGTTCTCAGCCTGAGCACAAGAACATTTAGTTATTCACACATTCACCTCATTGTATGGAAAAAAGGGGTTTCCTATTCAGGTGTTTAATTCTCACTAATATGTCAGTATTCAAGATGGCTGCCACAGCTAAACGGCTCCGACTTGGTCAGTTTTACAGAAATTGAGCTGTAATATAAACGTACTATTAGTTGACATTCGGACATTGTGCAGGATTGAGTCACATCAAGTGAGACTGAAAAGGAATTTAATTTGACCAAAACAACTATAAATCCACAATTTCCCATCATAAATTTTAGATTAAATTGAATTAATTTATGTTTTGGAAAACCTAAAAGTGTCCAAATATTGTTTAACAAGATAGTATCCCCACATGATTGTATGTTTACACTCGAGTGAAAAAAATTCAGCAAACAAAAGCTGGCTAATTTTATTCCCTATATTTTACTGAAAAATACAGAGAAAACACTGAAAAACTTAACTGAAAAATAAAAAAAATTCTGAGAAATATGGTGATTTTTGAATATTAAACATAAATACCTCACATTATTAGGACTTATTTATATTTTATAATATTCATTTACAATAATGAATGAAAGCGATAAGGTAGAGCTAACTGTGCTACAGTTGGAAATAATGCGGGAAAAAAAGGGAAAACCCTAGAAGTATTTTCAAAACTCTCTTGAAACCCCTAAAGATGTGGAGCACTTGTTTAATCAATAAATTTGCAGTGATCAATAATAGGAATGAATGCCTTGCAAGTCGTACAAGTGGGAAAAAAAAGCATCAGCGCACCATTTCCAGGAACTCAACGTTACCCACATCCCAGCTGAGCTTCAGACGGCTTATTTCCTGATATTTGGACATCTCGCCCTGGATTGGATAACAACAAAGCTACTCTACCACTGACTACGTTGATGTTTCATCTTCACAAATAACACAAACCTGGAGGAGTTTCTGCCGTGTGGTGGGGTTGTTAACGCTAACAGTTAGCTTCTACTAGCCGTGTTGTTCCCTGCTGTTTCCTGGACGCTAAACCAACAACAGCCTTCCCCGTCGTGAGTCAAGATGGGTGAGTCCAAGAATGTTAAGTGACAGTGTGACGTAGATCTGTCAGGATTGTCTAATCCTAGAGTTTCACCGTCTGTTTTCTATCAGAAGCTAATGCAGGATATGGGTGTAGGAGACTATTTTCATGTTCAGCCTGCATGAAAAACTCAGAGTGATGATTATAATCAGAAATAATAACTAAAAAATGGGTTTTCAGTGTTCCACACCTTTAAAAGCTCTTTGATTGCATGTAAATATTTAAATGCAGCCTTCTGGAAACAAGTGTTCCACACTCTAGGTATAAACAGATTAACCAATCCAATCACCCACACACTCACCCTGTATCTGGAATGATGTCCCGTTGCTATGGCAGCCCTGGCGTGCTGGCTGATGGGTCGTTTGTACCCGACTGCAGACACTGGCCTTTTCTTCATCTGTGAGGATTCACTGTTAGAAAGCAGGAGGACAAAGAAAAGTCAAAGATCCAGAAGCATGCGAATGCACCAAAGCCGGAGCAGCCGTGGTGACGACTGACGCATCGATGAACGATCAAAAGAAAAGATTTCATCTTGTGACTCAAATGGAAAAAAAAAATCCAAACCACTTCTGACCTTTCAGCAGGAACAAGAGACTTCAACTTCCATTGATCCTCCTCTGGGTCAAACGTCAGCCTGTTCATGATTTTGTTCTTCTCCTCTGGAGGAATGAAGTTCTCTATGATCAAATACCTGCAGGTGCATGACAGAATGGGTCATTTAAACATTGTAAAGGCAGAACGGTTCATACAAAGATATCTGTAATGTTTACCAGCTGCAGGCATGTGTTCATTCTCCCAGATTTAGGAATGAAACAGATGATTTCTCTTTATAAATCATTTAAATTAGATTAGCTAAAGCTTCGGTTTTTATTGAAAAAAATGCTGCTAAATTGTGCAGAATTTGGATGTGTTTATGCAGAAAATGCAGAATGACTTCATGCTGATGCTCCTATTTTATATTTTGTGTCTTTTTGTCATCAGCTTCTCCTCTGAATCAGACTCATACATGATGCTCTTCAGGAGGTTTCTGGACTCACTTGAGCTTTAGCTCTCTGGTAAGCTCGTTCTGAGTTTGCTCCAGCTCCTGCCGGCTCCTCACGTGCTCGTCGTTCACGTCTTTGATCTCCGCCTTGATGCACTGGAGCTTGGTGTACAGCTACGAGGAGAAAATTCATAAACAGAGATGAGAGAGAGAGAGGCAGAGAGAGAGAGAGAGAGAGAGAGAGAGAGAGAGAGAGAGAGAGAGAAGAGGGGGGGGGGGGCAGTGGGCTGAAAGCTGTGCAGTCTGAGTGATGAACTGGTGCCCAGCTTGCTGCAAACTGGTTGCCCTTAGGAACAGCACTGGAAGCACTAGTGTGTGGAGAGCGGGCCAGCCAATAGGAGCACAGCAGTGCTCAGGATCCGGCTCTCATTCCTCTGTTCTTTCATTTTGGCTTAGAAGGCCTAAACTATGACACTGCCCTTCATTTTAATTTATTTTTATTTATCTGAATATCAGGCAATGCAAATAGATTTTTAGATGCTTCACTAGCTAAACTAAAAAAATAACAAAAAAATTGAAAAGGTTGCTGTCATTCTCCTTTTTTCTCCGAGGCAAGGCATTATAGGAAAACATTAGAAGGGGCGCATTTACCTGCACCTAATAGCCTGTTTGGTGTTTGTTAAAATGCTTGTGGAGGCTTGAAGCTTCTGAGTGTTTGTGTGGAAAAAGCATGAAAAGGAAGGAGAAGCTCCACGATGGAGGAAAGGGGGGGGGGGGGGGGGATCAGACACATCATGTGTCTGAGGTTGATGGGATCCAGGTCAGAGGTCAAAGGGGACGAAGGGGACATTCTCACTCATGTAAGTTGGAGCAACTAACGATGTACTTAAGAGAATGTTTCACCTTCTTTAGCTTCTTGGTTTTGGCCTCGACTTCCTGTTGCAGAGAAGTGAAAGTCTCCTTCAGCTCCAGCGTCTCTTCATCCTGGACCAACATCTGCTGCTGCATCTCCCTCTCACCCCGAGTCTGGAACCAGAACAAAAACACACTGAGAAAAACAAACATGTAAGATTCTTAAAGTTCATGTGAAGGTTGCACACCTGCTCAGCAATCTCCTGCCTCTTTATCTCCAGCATCTTCTGCTGCTCGTTGGTGTGATCAATGATGTTCTTCCCTCCGACCAGCAGCTTGCTCTCCATCGCCTGGGAAACCAAACAGAATCTGAATGAATGCAAAGGAACGTGAGATCCAAGACTAATCGCACATCATCAGTGCACATCTTGGTTTAGTAGTACAACTTTCTTCTGCTGATATCACTTTTTCCAATTGTTTTAATGAAAAAAAGAAACCTAAAAAAATCATGCTCCTGAAAGCAAGCACAAATGTTTTGCTAGCATCACTTAGCACTTAAATTAGCCCTACTTGATGGTGCATTCACTGACCTAATAAAATTATTAATTGTATTGCTGCTTGTTCATATTTTTTATGCACATCTAATCTTTGTAGTTTTAGAAGGTAAAAAGAAACATTAAACCAAACTATTTATGTTTATCATTAACATTAAAAACCATATAATGATTTGTTTAATTCCATAATATTAAAACAGCAATAAAGAGATCAAATTAGCCCTTGCTATCTGGAGATCCTCCACCGGGGGGCAGTAAACATGTATAAGACTAGATATGGCAGGTTTCTGATGAAAGTACTAATCCTGATGCTCCCTTTCTGCTTTTAGGCCAGAAGTGGTTTGATATAAATGTATGACATTTAAAAAATTTCAAGAATGAAAATAATAATCAAGCTGAACATTCAAATATTAGAAAATAAAATAAGTTAACTACATAATTTTTAAAACAAAAGATGAATTAAAATGAAAAAAGATGAAAATGTTTAAAATGTATTTAATAAAATGCCAAGCCTCTAAAATCTTTACTCAAATAATGAAGGTTTAGTCATCTTGACTGTTTGTCACAATATAGATAAGTTATTGGAGTTTTCCCCCCACCAACAACAACAAAAGTTGCTTTTATTATTATTTATTCTGGACGCTAACTTTCTTTTGAAGCTTCTTGAGGTCAAATGGAGTTGATGTGGATGTTTAACGTGAGTCTTTGTGAACGTTGAAGCTGCAGTCAGCAAATACTTTGTGCTGATGAGGCAGACAGACACAGAGAGCTAGCAGAATAAAAATCATCATGATGACAAAACATGACGGTGAGCTGTAGCCTAGTGAACTAGACCAAATTCTTGCTTTGCAAAGTCTGGCTTGCCAGGCTAGGTGAGCTGAGCTTTGCTGAAACTTCCCAGAGACTCAGGTTGGAAAGTAGGTCAAAATCTAATGAATCAGTCTGCTTTCTCAGAATAAAACCTAATTTCATTAGTGTAGCGGCTTCTTTCCATTGAAAACGCTGCTGTGGGTGAGTGGGCCAGGCTGTGACGTGTCTTCCAACAAACCATTCTGAATCGTCTTATTTGTTTTTTATTTGTGGTTAAAATACATAGGTTGGGATAAATGAATCGGCTTCTGTTATATTAAAGGGTTTAAAGTAACGATAACGGCGATCAACAGAAAAGTTTTCATGACAACCGCTCACTGACCAGTTGGACGTTCAACTGATAGATAAGAAGTAGGCGACCCCCCCCCCCCCCTACTTGTCACTGGGGGGATAAAAGGTGAGCGTAAGCGTAATTCTCTCTCTCTCTCTCTCTCTCTCTCTCTCTCTCTCTCTCACTCACACACACACACACACACACACACACACACACACTTATAAACAGAGACTCTGATATTTTGGACTGGCTTCATTCCAGGACCTAAAACACAAAGATAGTGTGTGTTTGTCAAATATGTGCAGCCAAGATATTCTCCAGCATTTACACACACACACACACACACACACACACACACACACACACACACACACACACACACACACACACACACACACACACAGTGCCCCTAAACACAAAAACACACATTCTAAACTGCGGCAGAGTACAGTGGGGTCCCTCAGAGACAACGCAGCACAGAAAGCCTCTTTGTTTTAAGATGCCATTGTGTGTGTGTGTGTGTGTGTGTGTGTGTGTGTGTGTGTGTGTGTGTGTGTGTGTGTGTGTGTGTGTGTGTGTGTGTGTGTGTGTGTGTGTGTGTGTGTGTGTGTGTGTGCTTCATTAAAGGGATGATTCATGTCAGGGATTTTCCCCGCTCGTCTCTCATGTCAGTTATTTTGCTCACACAGGAGTTTAGGATGCAGGAAGCTAAACTTTTGGGAACCTAAACTGGAATTCTGGATTTGTTCTACTTTGAAAGGATCCTCTGTGATCCTCGCTGAGGTCATGAAACTGTGACAAATTCCATCTTTGCTTCGCATTCTCCTTTGTTTGCACCAACATCCAATTAGAGTGAAGCGACGGCTGCAAACGCTGAGCTGACAGCAGAAAAACCTGAGTTTTCTTAGATGAAAAGATTTAATTCTAAGAAATAAAACGTACAAACCTTAATTCATAATAATAATCCAAGAGTCATATATGTAAAATTTGACTTTTTCTCTCCGATATTGCTGACAGATTCAGATAGAAGACCGATTAAGGGTCAGAGTTCATGAGCCTTGCTGTGAGGTTGCTCAACTTTCTGCCTGAATGAAAGGGAGATCTCAGAACCATTACCTTTAAACAGCAGTCACCATCTTCTTCAGTAGGACAGAGTTTCTGGTCAACTGTTTATCATGTACGTTGAAAACAAACTGAACTAAGCTATTGTTTGTGTGTATTTCTTTTAAGTTGTTGGTTTTTGTTGATGAGAACAAATGGATTCTCCATTAGAGCTCAAGAAGCTGCTGCATCTCTCACGAGTCTGGTAAATAGATACTTTTAGTTCAGGGCCGTGTCGAGGGCGTGGCCTGGGGTGGCACATGCCCCCCTTGAAATTTGATTGGCCACCCCAGGTGCCACCCTACTGAGTTTATTAACCCCAAAACAGTAGGTGTATGTACCTTTAACATTGATTTCCAGCCCCAGGCCTTCAGAACATTCCTGTATTATTTTTATTCTTTAATATTTTTTGATACTGGCATAAATAGTATTCAGAATACCCGTCTCAGTTTCACTTCACTCCAGTTAGTGGTGGTAATGCACCGAGAAGCAGCTTGTTAAGCACCACAAAACAGCTAGAAGAAGAAGAAGCTCACAAACTCACTACACTGGAAAAAAGAATGATTTTGTGAGGTATGACCATAAGAAATAAGTGCCCCACCTGGTCACGCTGCTGTTTTAATTTTATTTTTTTTATAAGAGCTTTTGTTTCCCCAGACAAATCCACCTTTCATTCAATATGAGGCAATACATTTGATTTTCACTGACATACAAGGCTACAATAAAATGGACCAAAGCACCAATAAATCAGACCATATTTGCCATTTTCAAAATAACTTAGGGGCCTTGCATTTGATATCAACATTAAACAAAATAATTTTTTGTATTTTTATTTTCAGATGGACAAAAGACCTCCAAAAAACCATGACCCATATTGGTTGAACTGTAAAACATCACTTTCTAAAAAAACAACTCAAATTCAGATGTTTTACAGATTTTAACAAACTAAATTTGTATTTTTTGACTCAAATAAAAACCTAGTTAGCTCTGACAGATCAGCTCAAACTTGTAGGTATACAGGTGCTGGCCAGTAAATTAGAATATCATCAAAAGGTTGAAAATATTTCAGTAATTCCATTCAAAACGTGAAACTTGTACATTATATTCATGCAATGCACACAGACCAATGTATTTCCGATGTTTATTACGTTTAATTTTGATATTTATAGGTGACAACCAATGAAAACATCAAATCTGGTATCTCAGAAAATTAGAATATTCTAAAGGCCAATGAAAAAATGTTTGTTTCTCTAATGTTGGCCAACTGAAAAGAATGAACATGAAAAGAATGTGCATGTATAGCACTCAATACTTAGTCGGGGCTCCTTTTGCCTCAATAACTGCAGTAATGCGGCATGGCATGGACTCGATCAGTCTGTGGCACTGCTCAGGTGTTATGAGAGCCCAGGTTGCTCTGATAGTCGTCTTCAGCTCCTCTGCATTGTTGGGTCTAGCGTATTGCATCCTCCGCTTCACAATACCCCATAGATTTTCTATGGGGTTAAGGTCAGGCGAGTTTGCTGGCCAATCAAGGACAGGGATACCATGGTCCTTGAACCAGGTGCTGGTGGTTTTGGCACTGTGTGCAGGTGCCAAGTCCTGTTGAAAGGTGAAGTCTGCATCCCCATAAAGTTGGTCAGCAGCAGGAAGCATGAAGTGCTCTAAAACTTCCTGGTAGACGGCTGCATTGACCCTGGACCTCAGGAAACAGAGTGGGCCAACACCGGCAGATGACATGGCACCCCACACCATCACTGACGGTGGAAACTTTACACTGGACCTCATGCAACGTGGATTCTGTGCTTCTCCGCTCTTCCTCCAGACTCTGGGTCCTTGATTTTCAAAGGAAATGCAGAACTTGCTTTCATCAGAAAACATAACTTTGGACCACTCAGCATCAGTCCAGTCCTTTTTGTCCTTGGCCCAGGCGAGACGCTTCTTGCGCTGTTTCTTGTTCAAGAGTGGCTTGACACACGGAATGCGACACCTGAATCCCATGTCTTTCACGAGTCTCCTCGTGGTGGTTCTTGAAGCGCTGACTCCAGCTGCAGTCCACTCTTTGTGGATCTCCCCCACATTTTTGAATGGGTTTGTCGTCACAATTCTCTGCAGGGTGCGGTTATCCCTAGAGCTTGTACACTTTTTTCTACCACATTTTTTCCGTCCCTTCGCCTGTCTGTTAATGTGCTTGGACACAGAGCTCTGCGAACAGCCAGCTTCTTTAGCAATCACCTTTTGTGTCTTGCCCTCCTTGTGCAAGGTGTCAATGATTGTCTTTTGGACAGCTGTTAAGTCAGAAGTCTTCCCCATGATTGTGGTGCCTTCAAAACAAGACTGAGGGACCTTTTAAAGGCCTTTGCAGGTGTTTTGAGTAAATCAGCTGATTAGAGTGGCAGCAGGTGTCTTCTATATTCAGCCTTTTCAGAATATTCTAATTTTTTGAGATACCAAATTTGGAGTTTTCATTAGTTGTCACTTATGAATATCAAATTTAAATGTAATGAACATTGGAAATACATTGGTCTGTGTGCATTGCATGAATATAATGTACAAGTTTCACGTTTTGAATGGAATTACTGAAATATTTTCAACCTTTTGATGATATTCTAATTTACTGGCCAGCACCTGTAAGTTCATGTGTGTGTGTGTGTGTGTGTGTGTGTGTGTGTGTGTGTGTGTGTGTGTGTGTGTGTGTGTGTGTGAGTATGCGCGCGCACAAGCTGCACACTCGCTTGCGGACACATAATCTACCCATAAGTGCACGCTCAAATTCTATTAGCGGTAACTGATCTGCTTCCTGATGGGAAAGTGAAGAGAATGGGATGTGTTGCACACTGAGCGAGCCTCTTCATCCGCATCAGCAAGGTCGGATCCTGCAGGGAGAAATCGGGCTAAAAATATCGTGTGACGACTACAGGTCTCTAATACTCAGCTCAGAAGGAATGCTCGCTGGGAAGAAACTGAGTCTGAGAAGGAAAGGATGAGGAAGTAAAAGAGAAGATCAAAGGTCAGGATATCTCGGTTTGTCGAGATCGATGCGAAGCCACCTGAGCAACCTGGACTAGAGGCCCGTTTACTCACAGCATCAGTCACCTGAAGGAGATCCACTAAACGTCACATTCAGAACATCAGATCTATAACTTTTGTTTCTGATCAGCCAATAGTCATATTAGTGCTTCTCAAACTTTGACTTTATTTATATGATGCGTGTCTTTAACAAGAATTTAAAACATCATCTCATCAATTTTAAAATACTTGGAGGTGAAATTCTGCTCTGTGCCGTTTTATTTTCCACCAACGCAACAAATAATCACCACAAAAGATGGCCGCGGTGAGGTCAGCGTTTGCTCAAGACAATGCGTTGGAGACATGAAAATCACCAAAATAAACCATATATGAGATGAAAATCAATGTTCGCTTCTTGAACCACTAACATAAGTTCAGTATTTGATGCTCACGTGCAGATTCCTTCATCTCTCCTTATCCAAAGTAACATGGACACACAGAGTTTAGTCATCAATATTTCAGAGGTGCAGCTCTGTGTGCTAAGAGATGGAGAGCAGAAATGAGCTCAACAACCTCCAACGCCCAGCTCCTCTAATTTAACAGGAAGTCAGCTGTATAAACAGGAAGTACCATTATTCTATGCAGCGACTGTAGACTGTAAAAAAATCACCTAGCAAGCTGGAAAGATCCATATGTGTGCATGAACATGTTTGTAAAGCACTTCCTGTGCTGTAATGGTCATTGTGGTTTATCCCGCTTTCTGATTGGCTAATGCTGTTAACACAGATTTCCTCCAAAATAAAAAGCCATAATGGAAAAGCCATGTTTCCAACCGTCTTATGGATCAAATGTCCACAAAAACTGTTCCAGACAAGTTTACACCTTCTATTTAAATTATCTGTAGATAAAAACTTCAAGTTCATCTGGGCAGCTTGATGCAGATGTGTTTTCCCCCTGTAGATTTACACAAAACAGCTCCAGATCAGTCAGCTTTACAGACATTGAGTCGCACGATGGCTGAGAAGCTGAGTCACTTAGAAAAGTCAAAGAGAGCACACAAAATTCTGCGTGAGATTACACAAAATTTAAAAATGGCTAATTTCCATTTAGAATTTGTGATTTTAATTTTTTTAGCTCAATATTCCCGACCTTTTAGGACTTGAAACCTCTAATAGGGAAGAATCACTATTCTGTGTTGACATTAGCTGAAAAGCAAAGAGATGAAACAGTTGTGACCCAGAAAAGTTCATCTAAGAATAGTCCGCATACGAGGGGGTCAGAGAGGCTCCTGATGAGAAGATACTGCTCGACATGACGCTCTGAACATTAGCTAGACTCATTCCTACAAGTTTCCTTATACTGATGAATCAACTTTCATTTGAGATGCACCGATTCTGGTTTTGAGTGTCGATATTGATATTTGATTTTTGTTCAGCCATACTTCTCACAGAATACCTTGTTTTTTTTTATTTCTGATCAACTTGAACTATTAAGGGTCTGGAAATAAAATATTTCCATGTAGATGATATTTCATTACTAGTGTGAACTAACACTGAGCAATGGTGAGCTCGTGCACTGATTTCTGAGTTCAGATGAGTTTTGAGGATTTTTTCCCCCTCGTTTCGTCCAGGCTTTTGTGCTAGCTGAATGCTGTGGCTCAGAGCAGTACAACAATATGCTGCTTATTGATATCAGGAAAAACTTACCTTTATTAGTAAGTAAAGGTGTTATATCCAAAAACTTACCAAAAATAACGTTTGCTCCAGAAATAAACCCTGTCAGGTAAATCAGGCTGAAAGGGTTGTTGAAGTAACACTAAATAGTTTTTTTAACTTTAAGCTAAAGATTTCAGTGATTGCTGGGTTAGAAACTTGACTAGTTTTATATTGTTAGTCGTTATGCTAGCAGTTAGCTTTTTCAGTTCGCTGATCGTCATTAAAAAGCACAAGAACAAGAAAAAGCAGGCGTCTGCTTTTCTGTTGCCATCATGGCGGAGCCAAGTAATAACATTTTTGTCCAACAGTGTGGATATTTTTTTACTTAGTGGTTTATTTTAGTATTAGTTGGCTCATGTTAGTGCTAGCTTACTGTTAGCGCTAGCTACAGAAGGCTACAGCAGGGTTGTTTGCAACAGTTGTTATTCCACTTTCAACCAGTAGGGCAGAAGAGCCCACTGGTTGAAAGTTTAAAGTCAGTTTTGTGGACTTAAATCTTCACCAAATGCTGCATTTACGGATTCCTTTTTTGGAACTTGATTTCACAAAGCTGCCCTGTGACCTTTTCAAAAGCTTTAAATTTATCTCCCACCACCAAACGCGGGAGGCACTAACGTTACAGGCAATTGTGTGTTTGTTAGCAAAATAGCTCATGAACCTAATCGATTACCTTTTGGAGACAGCCTAATTTGCGAAGGGCGCCATCGCTAAGTAACCTTAGAAAACAGATTCATCTAAAAGACAACTCAGTTTTGCAGATATTTAGCTAAAATAGGCATAGTCAAAATAGTCACCCAAAGACTGAGGAATAAGGCAAATCAAGTTGACCAGTTTTAGCATCTAGAAACAAACGTTTAAGCATCCACGTTGCATGACAAACATGTCAGACAGCTTTCCTCCTAAACCAATTACAGAAACGGCTACATCAAAGCCAGGAAATACTTCTGCTCCCTAATCATCTCCCACCCTGAAGGCCCTTTCTGACTGTCACTGCTCTGCGGCTGCCCAGTGAGACGCGCAGAAATGATCCAAATAGCCTCTGAACATTTTAAACACATTTTCACTGAAACATAATAACGCCCCGGCCTGGTCCTCAGGGTACAATGTGACAGGAGGAAATATGAGCAGTTGAAAGCTGAAGTCGAAGGAAAACAAGCTGGTTGGGGGAGAATTAGATCAGATTTAGGGGACTTTTCACATACACCAAATGTTCAACAAAATGCCCTAACACTTTTGTTTTATCTATTGCAAATTTCAGGGATTTTATATGAAAACTTTGATTTATGATACATGAATTTGCAATTTTACAATGGTATTAAGTATATACGTAAGCAGCCTAAGTCGAGAGGCCCAGACTTCCCTCTCCCCAGCAACTTGGGCCAGCTCCTCCGGGGGAATCCCAAGGTGTTCCCTGGCCAGGTGAGAGACATAGTCCCTCCAACGTGTCCCGGGTCTACCTTAAGGCCTTCTCCTGGTTGGACGTGCCCAGATAACCTCACCAGGGAGAAATCCAGGAGGCATCCTGACTAGATCCCCAAGCCACCTCAACTGGCTCCTCTCGATGTGGAGGAGCAGCGGGTCTACTCCGAGCCCCTCCCGGACGACCGAGCTTCTCACCCTATCTCTAAGGGAGAGCCCAGCCACTCTTCGGAGAAAACTCATTTCGGCCGCTTGTATCCGCGATCTCGTTCTTTCGGTCACTACCCAAAGCTCATGACCATAGGTGATGGTAGGAACGTAGATCGACCGGTAAATCAAGAGCTTCGCCTTCTGACTCGGCTCTCTCTTCACCACGACATACCGGTACAACGCCCACATCACTGCAGACACAGCACCAATCCGCCTATCGATCTCACGCTCCAGTTTTCCGTCAATCGTGAACAAGACCCCGAGATACTTAAACTTCTCCACTTGGGGCAGGACCTCATCCCTGACCCGGAGAAGGCATTCTACCCTTTTCCGAATCAAGACCATGTTCTCAGATTTAGAGGAGCTATATTGCTGGTATTTCGTTTGTGTGAATTTTAGAATCACTGCAGAACATTTTGTGTTTAGAGACACTCAGGGGTTGGGAGAACTTTTGAAAAGCGGTAAAACCCGAATACGAACACAATGAAAATATCTTCTCCCTCCTCTCATCACTTGGCTTCAGGGCCTCGGGCCCATCAGTAAGCCGATCCGGCAACATCCCGTGTTGAAGCGGCAGGATTATAAAGTCCAGTGACACAGTCAGTCATTCTGCATGAGTGACTTATTGATGCGATGTGCCCATGAACCAGAGCAAATGATTAACGTGGCTCTGACTCAGTCTGATTGCTCACCGTGCAACAGTATTGTGACATTTTAAACTGCATCGCGCTTTCCTGATTTCCAATCAGACGCTGGAAAAAGAACAGCTAGGGAAATACTTCTTCCAAAAGAAAAGTGGGAAGGAATTCTAGTGGAAATTCCTCAACTCAGCCAGTCAAGGGCTGAACTTGGTCAGAATAAAAGGAATAGAAAGATGGACTCACCTTGTACTTGGCGGTCAGTTGCTCAGCAGCTTCCTGCTGCTTCCTCAGATCACCCATCATCTTCTCCTTCTCTCCCAGTAGCCTCTGCTTCTCCTCAGCCAACATGGATTGATCCTCCCTTATGGCCTCCTTCTCCTTCTCCAACCGCTGTTCCTCCATCTTCATGTACTCCTCTGCCTCCTTCTCCACCTCCTCCTCCTCACCTTCCGTCTCTTCGTCTCCATCTCTTTCCCAGCCCTCGCCCTCCAGCTGGTCCTTCTTCTGTTTACTCCTCCACCTCCTGTGGTTGAGTTGGGCTCTGAGGCGCGCAATCTCCTTCTGGAACTCGCGGAGCAGAGCATCTTTGGGGTCCTCGTTGACTCGGGGCTGGTTCTGGATGTTTTTAGCACGGTTGGCGTAGCGAAGGGTGGTGAGGGTTTCATCGTAATGTAGGGAGGCTGGGCCAAGAGTAGCAACCATGACAGTCTTAGCGTTCCCACCCAAAGAGTCCTGCAACAAGCGCGTCAGCTTGGAGTCCCGGTATGGTACGTGGCCACTTCGTCCATCTGCTAGTGCTGAGATGACATTCCCCAGAGCAGACAGGGAGAGGTTGATCTTGGCGGCTTCTTTAAGGCGATCCCCCTGGACACCAGTCTTAGTTTGGCGCTCGCTGCCAGCCAGGTCCACCAGGTTGAGGCGCCCCACTCGGATGTGCTTCCTCCCATCTGGTCCGGGCTGGCTGCACTCCACTGTGATCAGAAACAAGGCGTGGGACCTGGAGGAATGTTCATTCATGTCTGTGGCTCCCACCGCCCTCGCCTGATTGCCCACATTCATCACTTCCTCAATCTCCTTGAGGCTTTTGCAAACACACGATGTAAGGTCCTGAACATACACCCCGGTCTCTGGGCTCTCTCTGAGCTCCAGGCCTCTGGCGCTGCCGTGGTTGGGGTCAAGGAGATCCCGGATCTCCTCCCTGTAGATCTCAAGGTAGGAGGCCCGCACCAGATACTGCTTGTCCGACTGTGATCGAGAGATGTGTGTGAAGATGTGGTCGAAAGCGTTGGGAATCACACCCCGCTTCTCTGGGTCCAGCCACGCTCCCTGCATGGTGTATGTCTTTCCGGTTCCAGTCTGCCCATAGGCAAATATGGTACCATTGAACCCTGCAAGAACCGAATCTATCAGCGGCCGTACGCTTTCATCGTAGAGGTCCCGCTGTTTGGAGTTTGCATCGTAGACTGCATCGAAGGTAAATGTTTTCTGGGGCTCGCTTGGCGGTGCACGAGGGTTTCTGAGGATCACCTGTCCCAGCCTCAAATCCATCTGCACAATCCCCCCAGCAGGCCCATTGGGCTCCTCTTTCCGGTTTAAAGGCCGGCATCGAACTACCACCTTCACTGACTCTCTGCTTTTATTCTTTGACATGATTCACTCTGTTGAATTATCTAAATCAGGACAGAGAAGAAGAATCGGACAACATGACACCAGCCTGTGAGCTGAGATTTTTTTCTGACTCGTTAATAATTATGGCTCCTTGATAACGTTACAGTGAAAAATAGCTGCTGTGCCTAAAATACACACAGAAATATTTACCTCTAGATATGAGAGCTTATTGTACCTTATGTCTGGTTTCCTTGGCTTATTGTCTGTAATCTGAGCCCACAAACACGATCAGCGCCTCTCACGCGTTGGTTTGACGCTCCACTGCAGTCCCGCTACCCGTCCAGAACCAAATAATGATCCAACTACGCCGGGAATTACGCAAATCAAGTCCTACATCCTTTTGCAGTCGTCATGACTGTTTATTCCCGGCAGCAACGCGACCCACCGCAGTCTTCATCTTCCTCTTCATCCGAGTCAAAGATGCTCCGAAGCGGATCTGCAGCGTACACCCAGCTCTCTCTCTATCTCTCTCTCTCTCTCTCTCTCTCTCTCTCTCTCTCTCTCTCTCTCTCTCTCTCTCTCTCACACACACACACACACACGCGCGCGCGCGCGCGCGCGCACACACACACACACACGGACCCAGAGGTGCAGGCTTTCAACCACCACACCCACATCACTGCGGAGTCAAGCAAAGCATCATGGGAAATAGAGTTTTTCAACAAAACGAGTTGATTCTTGTTCAAAGCTTCATAATTCGCAGGAAATATGTATTTTTATTCCTAATATTTGATTAATAAATGATCATTGTGGCTAAAATGTTTTTTCCATAGAAGTTTGAATAAAATTGACTTTAACCACATTTAAAACCTCAGAAATCTCACATAAACCAAATCAAGCCTACCAAATTAAACCAGAACAGCTAAATAATAATAATAATAATAATAATAATAATAATAATAATAATAATAACATCATTTTTAGTAATATAGACAAACTTAATAACATTTCTGGTAAATATGATTTACCTAAAATATGTGTTTTTATGTTATTTTATTTCATAAAAAGATATTTGTCATATTAATAATATCTGATCATTATTTTAGCCTCCCAGTTACACAACTCTTCTTTCTAAGTGGTACAAACTGAGGGTAGCAGGAGAAAATACAAAATTAATCATGACTTGAATTATTTAACTCTTTTTTTTCACTCAGAAATGAAGCAGCAGCGCTCCCTGCTGGGGTAAAAACATCAGGCACGTTTTTATTTGACCTACAGAGGGGTCATTGTAATTAACAGCAGCAAAATAATGTTGATTTGTTTTTAAACAAAATGATTCATAAATTAGGTTTTTCTCATTTTGGCATTTTAGAGATCAGAGGGAGAAACATTTCAGCCAAATGGCGATATCAAGCCATTGAAAATCCTATAAAATTCATTTTATTGATTGATTTGTTCTTAATCTGCCCACAAATACATCTAAAATGAAAGTGAACAGCAAACCTCTCAAACAGCTTTCAGAGTTGTAAGAGTATCACCTGCAAATGCTATATTATCCCAGTAAAGAGCCACATTTCCCATCATTATGACACTGGAATCAAAGATATTGAAAATGGAAAAATCGATGCAACGAGCTGTTAGCAGCTTGTGTTTTACTGAGTAATAGATCCAGCAGTTTATTATTAGCTGCACCGCCTAACAGCACCTGTTATAATAGCCCTGCCTTTAATTAACACTCATTAGCTGGAACAGTGTTAATGTGGTGATTATACCATCTGCTGGTCATCATAAGAAGCACTTTTGACTAATTGTAATTAACCTTTTAACCAATCCACTCAGACATAAGATAAAACGTCAGAATAAACATTTAATAAAAAACTGAAGTTTCTGATACAATAGGAATCTATCCCTGCATCTTTCAGTTTATTTAACGCAAAAACTCGCCGGTAGGTGGCGCCAAAAACACCCCTTTCATGACGTTCTAACTAAATTGATCAGAAAAACACAACAATATGAGAGACACAATTAAAGATATACTAATGAGGGTTTTGTTTTTAGTTAAAAAGTAGTTTACTAAATGAAAAATAAATTATTTTAAGGATCTGAATTTTCCAAAAGCATCGTTATGGACCATGATAATTTAAAAAGGGAAGAAATGTATGTTTAAGTTCTTGTTTTTTTTTTTTGGGGGGGGGGGGTGTTTGTTTTTAGAAATGTTGGACACAAATCGACAGAATGGACAGAAAAATAGTTAAACACAGGAAACAAAAACTCAGCAACTGTACCGCACCACTCAGGTTTACAAAATCATGGATAAACTCAAAAAACGAAAAAAATGTAAAATAAATCTTTTGCAAAAGAAATTTCTGAACAGCAAATTAAATATGGAAAAACTAATGAGTATGGAATGTGGAGGGATCTTTAATCTGTAACCCTATTTATAATAATAATAATAATAATAATAATAATAATAATAATAATAATAATTATTATTATTATTATTATTATTATTATTATTATTATTATTATTATCATCATTGTTATTATTATTATCATCAGAATGTCTGTGTTTCGATTATAGTAGAGTAGAATAGAAAATGTTGGTGTCACAGCAGGACATGCTGTTGTTTAAATCAGATTTATTTCATGAAAGTTATTTAATTTTTTACAATAAAATGACATTATATGGATTTGTTCTAACCTTAAATGATGTGATAGGGTGCCATAGAGGCAGGTGGGGTTTCGATTTAATTACAGGGAACAACAGATTTCTTTATTAGCAGATCATGAGACAAACAATCTTACGTAGAAATAAAACAGTTACCTGAAGTACCTAAAGTGATCAAAGTAAATGAGAATATTTGCACACATTCACATGAGTACTGCACACTTTCAGCTCTAAGCTGATCATTTGAAGAGCCATTTTTTATATTTCAGCTGTCTTTGTCGTCTTCTTGATCCAGTTGAGGAGGTTTGCTGTGAGATAAGTGTACACCCCGGGCTTTTTTATGACTCCACACTTATCTCCAAAAGAAGTGACTCCAACCAGAAATCCGTTGCATATGATTGGTCCTCCTGAATCTCCCTGCGGAGGGAAAACCAACACAGCTCTCCTCAGATTATCACCTCATTTAACGTTGGAATAAAAGCTCACCGGGCTCACTTACCTGACAGGAATCAGCAACGTTTTTGCCGTCTGAGCCGGCGCATATCATGCTTTTAGTGATGACAGGGTTAAAGTTGTAATAATCTGGAGAGTTGCATTTCACTCTGTCGATAACAGTCACGTTGACAGACATCAGGACGTCAGACATTTTATCAACCCTGTTGTTGGTTTTCCCCCATCCAGCCACCAGACATCTGGATCCAGCTGTTGGCTCTTTGACGTTATAATTTAGCTTGAGAGCACTGACCCACTTGGTCAGCTTCACTGCCTTGTCGAGCTGTTATCACAAATCAGACAATGTGATTTTTAGTTGAAGAAGAGGTTTTGAGTCGGTCGGACTCATGGGGTAGGGTAAATATCGGCCCAATACTGGCCGACCGATATATTGGGCCGATCGTTGACATCGACTGATCTTTGTGCTTAGTAAAGCCGATTTAAAGTCAGGCGCATCTTCGGGCAGCTCAGTGCTGTTGCAGAATTTAATTTAAATGTATTTTTGCGTTCACTAATAACATCTGTATAATAAATACTCTAACTTTATTTAGATGTCTGACTTTCACAATGAGCAGTGCACAAAGTTAAGATTTAACAGTTAAATTCAGAATTCAAAAACTGATTCAGCTTCAAAAGTTTTGTGCATCAACTGATGTCATCAGTTAGCCTGGCAAGCCAGACTATATATGTGAACATATAAGCAAGAATTTGATCTAGTTCACTAGGCTAGTCATCAGTGAGAATTTAGCATAAAAAATAAGGTGGATGTCGGCCCTGGCAATTGGTCTATTAAAATCAGCAGTACATATCAGCCATCGGCTGTCCATTTCACCTACATATCGGCATCGATATTAGCAACAGAAAAACCAATATCGGTCGACCTCTAGATTGGACTAACAGACAATTGCATCTTGTGGCTGTAATTCCATTCCATTTTATTTATAAAGCACATTTCTACACGGCCGAGGCCAACCGAAGTGCTGCACAGTAAAAGAGCATAAAATCAACCCACAGGAAGAAGTAATAAAAGTAGTACCGTAACTACTATAAAAATAATAAAAATAAAACATTGTAAAATGCCAGTTAGGCTGAAGTGAAAGCCAAGGAATAAAAATGAGCCTTCAGGCGTGATTTAAAATTAGAGAGAGAGGGGGGCATTCTCACTGCTAGAGGGAGTTGGTTCCAGAGACGAGGCGCACAGATTGAGAATGCTCGTTCTCCTCGTGTCCTCACCTGAACACTTGGGACCTGTAACAGGTGGTGGTCTGCTGACCAAAGAATTCGAGCAGGTAAGTAAGACTAAACCAGCTGAGTCAAGTAGAGAGGCGCATAAAGAGTGACTTAAAAACAAGAAGTAAAATTTTAAACTGGATCCGATAGCGCACTGGGAGCCAGTGCAACTGGTCCAGAACAGGAGTAATGTGCTCCCTTCGTCTGGTGTCTGTCAAAAGGTGGGCAGCCGCATTCTGTACCAGCTGTAGGCGCGCAACCGAGGAAGATGTAATGATTTAGTGGTAGAAACGCCAACATAAGCATAGATAAAATAATCTTCTAAAGACCCTTTCTATGTTTTTCTACTTGAATGTTTTTCCAGTTCAGATAGTTTCTTCTTTTTCATTTTTATTTAAACACCATCTTACCTTTAGCAACCTGAGGTCATTGACCCGTTCATCCTTATCGAAACAAGGATGAGGAATGCTCTTCTTCACTTTCCGAACCTGCCTGAAATTCTTTTCCTTAGCCTTGTCTTTGATGGAGTGAACCCCCAGCAGCACCGTCTTAATGCTGCAAGGAAAAAAAAAACACCATCATGTAAAATTAAAACTAAGATAAGAGTGAACAGATTAAATTATAGACACTATCAAAATCCAGAAAATGATTTTAAAGATGTTGCATTAACCCATCATCGTCCACAGCAAGAAAAAGAAATGAATAATTAAAATTAAGCGTTTTCTATTTGTTTTCAGGAAAATGGCTGTTTTCTAGATTCTGATGCACACCGTGGGACTGAAACCTGCACACATCTTATCTGAAGCCTTGTAGCTTTTGTGGTTTCTGTTGAAGTACGTGACGTGTGGTGGCTACTTTTGCTTCCTTCACAGAAAACACGATGTGCTCAGATGCCTCGTTGTGCTTTGCAGCTGCGTGATTTTGACCTGTGTCTATTTATACGCAGCCTGTGAAAATATTAGGTGATGAAAACTTTTAACGACCCGAAGTCACACTATGTAAGCATGAACGAGTTTATCAGGAGTGTGATCTAAGGGAATACAAATCTAATATTAGCTGGACCTGTTTGTCCCATTATCAGTATTAATAATCTATATCTTGGTACATCCAAAAGAATAAACATTCATCTCAATTTGCAAATCTGTTCCCAAAAGAAGGTGGTTTAGAAAACTGCTGGCTAAATGTTAATTAATTATGCTTGATTTAAAAGTTCTTACTCTCTGCAATGTGCAGCGGTCAAGACCCATTTTGGATCAATTAGAACCCCTCCGCACATCGGCTTGTCGTTCTCTAGCAGAGCCATGAAAGGCAGAGAGTGTTGCTGCACCTCTTTCCCATTGATGATCTCAGAACTGTGGCCTAATACACACACACACACACACACACAGAGAGAGAGAGAGAGAGAGAAATGGAAACGAGAGATAAAAACAGCTGATTTTTACAAACTGACAGCATATAGGGACTGTCTTCTCACTGACCTGAGCTGGCAGTAAGGAGAATGACAGAGGAGATTAAAGCGCCGAAACTCTTCAGAGACAACATTTCTTCTTATCCACTTGTTTGATCTGGTGATGACGAGTGCACCCCTCCTGATTCTCACCCTTGCTTTTATGTGTTATGTTCAAAGGATGTGGTCTCGCCGTGGAAACGTTAAGTCAGCAAAACGAACCTTATCAAGACATGACATCTGTTACAGAATCTACTCTGTGGGAACATTTACCAGAACTGACCGTGACCACTCAAATAAAGTAAAAAAAAAAAATCTTGTTAACCAGTCACAGAGTATGGCAACAGCTAAAAGAAAGGCACAAAGGGCTTCAAATGGTGCTTTTATGAAAGACAATATAATAAATGCAGAAAAATTATTTCAAGGACAGATAATGTATACAGGTTAGATATTTGTGTACAAGTTATGAGATAGGACAGGATAGGACAGGATAGGATAGGATAGGATAGGATAGGATAGGATAGGATAGGATAGGACAGGACAGGACAGGACAGGACAGGACAGGACAGGACAGGATAGGATAGGATAGGATAGGATAGGATAGGATAGGATAGGATAAGGTAGGGTAGGGTAGGGTAGAGTAGGGTAGGGTAGGGTAGAATAGGATAGGATAGGATAGGATAGGATAGGATAGGATAGGATAGGATAGGATAGGATAGGACAGGACAGGACAGGACAGGACAGGACAGGATAGGATAGGATAGGATAGGATAGGATAGGATAGGATAGGATAGGATAGGATAGGACAGGACAGGACAGGATAGGATAGGATAGGATAGGATAGGATAGGATAGGATAGGATAGATAGGATAGGTTAGGATAGGATAGGATAGGATAAGGTAGGATAGGATAGGATAAGGTAGGGTAGGGTAGGGTAGGGTAGGATAGGATAGGATAGGATAGGATAGGATAGGATAGGATAGGATAGGATAGGATAGGATAGGATAGGATAGGGTGGGATTGGATAGGATAGGATAAGGTAGGGTAGGGTAGGGTAGGGTAGGATAGGATAGGATAGGATAGGATAGGATAGGATAGGATAGGATAGGATAGGATAGGGTGGGATTGGATGGGATGGGATGGGAAATATGGTTTTGTTTTACCAGAAGACACAAATGAGTCAGTTTAAACATAAACTCTCAGCAGAAAATGACAGATGAAGATGGTGACATTACTCAAGAGTTCCCTTATTCCTCTGAGGCTGGTAAATTAGTTAAACCAACCAATCAAAGCGAACAACTCTGCTAACCAAGTCATCAGGACAAATATTAATAAGTGATAAAAAATTGTCATTCGGTGAACTTTAGCTGTAAATTAATGTTAAAATAAGACCTTTATTAGGTAATATCTCACCATATTTGCTGAAACATGCAACTTATGGTTGTTAAAGAGCTGTTCATTAAACTAAATACAACACAGATCAACAAGATAAAACCACAAACTTTTTTTTTTAATTGTGCTTTGTGTGACTGAGTTAGAAAAACTGGTTTCACAGCTGAAGCCATCAGGATCACCCTGTGATGTTCTCCCACCTTGACTTTTTTAGGAGGCATTTTCATCACTGGCTCCTTTTATTGAAATGATAATAAATGGAAGTCTACATGGTATGTGTGGTCCCAAGCTCTCTGAAAAAAGTAGTTGTCTGGACTGGATTAGTCAGTTTTAGCCAACCACAGACCAATCTCAACGCTCTCATTCCTTTCTAAGCTTTTGAAGAAGGTTGTTTATTTACAGCTGAACTCTCATAATATTTTGGAGACATTTCAGTCAGGCTTCAGAGCTGGACACAGCACAGAGACTGCTCTTTTAATGGTTCTTAATGATATATTTTTAGCTGGTGATAAGGGTGATGCTGTTGTCCTTTTCCTACTGGACTTGACTGCTGCTTTTGATATGGTGGACCATGACATCCTGCTGGATTGTTTACAGAACTGGGTGGGGATTGAAGGGGTGGCGCTTCAATGGATGAGGTTGTATCTTGATGAAAGGAGGTTTTGTGTGTGAATGGGTGAAGCTTCTGAGCCTGAAAGTCCCAGATGGGGGGTCCTCCAAGGCTCTGTCCTTGGCCCCCTTCTGTTTACACAATACATCCTGCCCCTGGAGGTCCTAATCAGCACCATGGTGTTAAGTTTCATTTTTATGCAGATGACTGCCAGATCTATTTGTCTTTTTCTTGAGGAGCAGATGTCACGTTGAGAGCAGGAGGTTTGGACCCAAAATGCAGAAATCCAGACAACTCAGGCAGGAGCGGTTGAATAAATGAAGGACGATGAGTAATTTCCAAGGGCAGGAAGCCAAGCCATAAATCTAGGAAAACTGAATTACAAAAACAAAAGCTCATTTATGAGCAAGGACCTGGAGTTACTAGAGGAGGGCAGAACAGCACTGACAAAGACAATGGACCAACAAACACTGAGGGACAAGACAGGGTTTTTAACACAGAGGGGAGCAATCAAAGGAACAGGTGACAGGTGTGAGGAGTGAGGTCTGGAGGGAAGACAGGTACCATTAATAAACCAAATGGGGAAAGAACTTAAGCAGAGGGGAAGGAAAACCATAATCTATAAAACACTAAATAACTAAACCTAAAGACTAAGGGCAAAGATAAACAACTAATGACTAGAGAAGAAGAAGAAGAAGAAGAAAGTTTCTATAGCGCCTCTAGAGGGGTGAGGAGGACTAATACAAACCAATAAGAACTACACGGGAGTGACTAGGAGGAAACATGAGGGAAGCCTAGAGGGAGCTGGAGAACACAAGGAGACACAGCACAAGGGGACACATGAGGGGAACACAGAGGACGAACAGGAGGGGGCTGGGGACCAAGGGGACACAGAACATGACAGCAGAAGGCTCTGTATCTGCGTTATTGGACTGTTTAAGGGAAGTTAAGTCATTGATGGCTGCTAACTTCCTCTTCCTAAATGAGTCTAAAACTGAGGTTATAATACTCAGCCCTGGTGAAAGAGCTGGAGCAGGTGATGAGATTGATCTTGATTCCATGACACAAAATAAGAAGAATGTGGTCTCTAATTTAAGGGTGAAAATTGATGCAGCCCTTAGATTTGATGCACAAATAAACATGTTTAGTTAATCTGAGACGGCTATCCAAGATAAAGCCTCTACTGTCCAGAGTACATATGGAAACAGTAGTACACACTTTTATCATGTCCCGCATCGACTACTGTAATGTGTTGTATGCTGGACTGAGTCAAGCTACTCCTGCACGACTCCAGCCAGTCCATAACTCTGCTGTGAGATTGTGACTGCACCAGAAGGAGAGACAACATCACTCTAGTGCTCTGCACTGACTCCCGGTGTTTTATCGGGCATGATTTAAGATCCTCTTTCATGTTTACAGGGCGCTGCAGAGCAGTGCTCCACCATGTCTTTCTGAACTGCTGCAGCGGCGTGTCCCCACTCGGGCCCTTCGCTCTGCTGAGCAGGAGTTGCTGGAAGTCCCCCGCTCTAAACTCAGATCAAGGGGTGACCGGGCCTTCTCAGTAATGGCCCCTACACTCTGGAATGAGCTCCCTCTGGCAGTGAAGCAAGCTCCTTCTCTACAGGAGTTTAAATCTCACCTGAAAACACTTATCTACTAGCTTTCCCCCAACATGGTTGACCCTGGCTTTTGTATTTTTACCTTTTGTACTTCATGGTTTTTAATTAACTTTACTTGTACTTTTCTATTTATTTTTTAAATAAATCTTACTCTCTTTTATCTTCTATGTTGCTTTTATGTGCTGTTCAGCACCTTGGGCCTCCAATAAGGTGGTGGTAGGTGCTATATAAACAAATCTGATTGATTACTGGTCAGGACCTGCAGAAGAACAGCTGCTTCCAGGAAATGGCCACCACAGAAAGGAGTGAATGAAAACACATCATGTTTCTGCTTGGGGTCGACATCCCACAACTAAATGTGAAAAGACACACCACAAACCGTTGTGCGGACATGATTCATTCTTACACTTCCCCTCACACTCAGAGACCACCACAGTTCTTCTGAAAACTCCCCTCAGTTAGCAAAAATGAACCTGTATCTCCTCTAACCTGCTCCAGCACCAGAAGAGCTTGTTCTGGACACAGATCAGACTCAAAGCTCATTTAAAAACAACTTTTCAGTTAATTTCTACAATTTTGTCCTCCAACCAAATTGTTTATTTTCCTTTTTCAGCCTTTTTCTTGCTGATTTCCTCACCTGCAACACAGAAATGTCTTTAAACTTAATACAATGAACTGGTTTTTTTTGCCCGTGCCACATAGTTTCCAATGATGTGAATTTTCAGTGTTTGCACCACTTCAGAGTTCTAAGGAAGGAAAATCATGTCTGTGCCTCACTGCTAGGCACACATAACCTTTAAAAACATGGTGCTGTTCATTCTGAGAAGTAAAAAGAACAGCAGCAAATACATTTCTGTCAACTGTGAACATTTTGTCATGTAGTGATTTCTTTTAAATTTGCTTTATGTTTTAATAATAATGAAAAAGCAAGATAAGTTTGGATCAAGATATCTAGTCATGTTACAGCTGACCACAATTTCTTCTCCTTTCTGCAGCCCACATTTTACTGAAACAGAGATTTTTAGCAACTAAACCATAAAAGACCATAAATCACACACAGTTTTGGGTATTTACCTGTGGATGAAAGAAGCAGCTGTGGTCACGCACTCTTAAGACCACTTGTTCATTTGCAAACTTTGCAGAACCAGATCTCTGTGAGTACTTTTTTATACTGCAAATCTGTTCTTGTTTCATCGGAATCTGCATCAGAAAAACATAAAAACACTATAAGTAAAACTGTTCTTGACTCTGAGGATATAAAGCACACAAAAGAAACAAAACTGTGTACTATTCAAATTTTACACATTTTCTGAGACTAAATTAGTCTTGTGAACAGAGGCAAGATAATCTGTTTCAGGGTTTCCGATTGGAAAACTAAAGATAACGTATATTGTTATACTGACTCATACAACAATGTGAAGTAAAGGTTACACACACACACACACACACTTCCAACAGCAGTTTCTGATGTGGTTTCCTGGCGTGAAATCAGGAAGTCTCACGTAACTTATCATTCACATATTGATGATTCACCAGCATGCTGTGAATCGCTGCTTCTCTCCAAAACCAACCAGCCCTCTGA